CAAGCCCCCGAGGTTCAAAAGGTCACAGGAGGCCGTCACTTAACACTGCTCGCGGCGCTCATGATCTTGGTAGACTGGCCAGACCCCATGTTCATGGAGGACATGCTCTACGGCTTCCCAGCAGTGGGGTTCTCTCGGCACATCTCTCCCCACATGGTGTTCCAGGATGGCATGGCGGACGCGATGGCCATCTGCCAATCACTGCGTCCCAGTGAGTTTGACGAGATCATCACCCAGGCAGGGATAGATGACGGGAAGCAGGGATTTTGCGGAACGATGCCAACAAGACCATCCTTTCAGACTCATTAAAATCATCGAGTCATTGATGACGCAGCAGCAGGAGCAGGAGCAGGAGGCCAATCACAGCTCAGTTCTGACGCCAACAAGCTGGATTTGTGTAATGCCATCCAACCAGCACTGGCGTGTAGGCTGCTTGTGGGCGCACCAGGGGGGCTTCCTCAGGCTTGGAAGGCGGGGGTGAGGACCTGCCTGACGCGTATCGCCATGTGCCTATGAAACCTGCGGAATGATGGGGCGCTGTGGTCGCCTACCACGACAACCAGACAGGTGAGCCAAGATTCAGGCCAGCTCTTCGGGCTACCCAACGCAGTCACCTCCTTCAGCCGTTTTCCAAGACTGTTCCAGGCGATGTGTAGGAGACTGGCGTCGGCAATGGCATCCAGTTATTTCGATGGCCTGACAGTCTAGGATTGGCAGACCAATTGCGGTTCGGCACAGAAGTTCTGCGTGGACCTGGCCCTTGCAGTCGGGCCCCCATTCGCTGCAGCCAAACATCAGCCAATGTCGCTGCAGGGCGATTTCCTGGGACTCACACATGATTTCCACAACGTCCAGTCGACGTCAATGGCCAGTTTCTGGATTCGACCCCGTTTGGAAGCAAAGGTGAAGACCTCAACGTAGCTCGCGAATGCGGCCTACCACCTAACATTGCCTCCAAGCTCTATGGGTGTCTGAACTTCTTGGCGTCGGGCTGTTGGGGGAAGTCTTCCGTGCAGGACTCAACGACATCAGAGAATGTCAGAACCACGCAGTCCCGGCACCTGCCTTAGAGAACACGTTCAAGTTTATCGAACACATGCTTGACCTACGACCAGAACGCACCTATCCGATCCAATCGCTGCCCATGCATCAGTTTGGTTTGTGGCAGCCTCAGATGCGGCCCAGGATGAGGCCCACCAAAAAATCTGGAGAGAGGTGGGCCACCGTCATCCCCGTCGGGCCAGATACCTTCGCTATGTGGGATGAGGCTGAGACCCACATGGCGCAACTGGAGCTTCTAGCGGTCCTCGCTACCCTCACATTCCACGCGGAGAGGCTTCGGGGGCATCATGGTATTTGGCATGTGGACAACATCGCTGCCTTGATGGCCCTCATCCGTGGCTGTAGCCGAAATCCGGATTTAGATCGAATGGCGGGCCAGGTGCATTGTCTCTTGTTTGGTATAGGGGCAACCATTTTCTGGGAGCGGGTGGCCTCGTAGGACAACTGGTCGGATGGGATTTCCAGAGATGGTCTCAAGGACAAGTGGTTCCGCAATAATGGTTTTCAGGCCTGCACCATGGAGCCGGACTATATGTTGTTGAAACTCCCCAACTACCTGTTCCTGCATATATTCAAGTTCTTCTGAAGTGCTTTGGGAAGATGAGTAGTGCGTTGGGAACCGGTCAGAGACCCTTGTCAGGGGTGCGTCCGGGGCACGGACCCGGGAGGAACCCGGAAGACCCAAAGCATTTTAATGTATGAATGATAGCAGGGACATCAAGAACACGGAGGCGCGACCGTGGATCTCTGAGAGAAAAAGGAATGCTCATTGCTTCGACAAAGCATTGGAATCCTTTAGGCTAGGGCAGGTAGGTGAGGGTTCGTTGCTTTGTGAACATGCAATGCATGCCTGCCGCTATGCCATTTTAATCAAGCCTACATGGCCAGGCAAGCCACCGAACCAGGCAGGTTCTGACTGGCTGAGTTTGCTTTTCCCCCCCACCCACCCTGGACCCCCGTGGGGTATCCTACGGTGGTTGGGCCCCTGTCTGGGAGGCCAGCGGGCCCGCACATGGACCACTTGCTTCCGGGGGTTACCTGCACCAAGTGTATGTGCAAGCGGTCACCGGTCAGGTGAGACCCTTGTCAGGGGTACGTCCGGGGCACGGACCCGGGAGGAACCCGGAAGACCAAGCATTTTAATGTATGAATGATAGCAGGGACATCAAGAACACGGAGGCGCGACCGTGGATCTCTGAGAGACAAAGGAATGCCCATTGCTTCGACAAAGCATATATATATATACACGCTTTACAAGTGGGTATTTGGAGCAGGCAAACTACTCACAGCTCCTTTTTTGGGGAATCCTAATGAACACACTGAGGGTCACACAAAGGAAGTCTCCTCTCAAATTGACTGTTTGTGGGTTCCAGACTGACTGGAAACCAACGAGGAATATTTGGATTGGGGAGTTGGCTTGGGATGTCAAAGAGATTGCAATTTCCACCCGGTGCGTCAGAAGGATCCTGCTTGGACAACCCACAGCCCTTGTTTTGCGCGTTAAAAGTTCAGTTGGATCTTGAGGGTCCAGGTCTGCCAAGATAATGGGGGGGGGCGGAGATTCGAAGAACCGTCAAAAGGAAATGGTTGAGTAAGGGTCCTCGTGGCCGTTCTTTTAATGGGGGTTGAACCCTGCGTAGGGTCTTTGAGGAAAAGCCCGCTTCGGGGATGTGTTGAAGGGACACCTGAAACCACGTTGGGGACGAAGGGGACGAACCAAGCTCTCAAGTCTGCATGTTCTGATTGTCAAACGAGGTGGACACGATCTCCATCATGTTTGCCTTTTGTGGTTCAATGATGGACAAGGACAGAGGCTGCCCCAAAAGGAATGTCTTTCAAACCCTGCTCTCAGCTTCCACGATTGTTGAAGGGAGGGTAGATGACAGATTCTAAAACGGGGCATACAAAGAGTGGATGGCCATTCTAGGTTTTCGACAAAAAGGTTCTGGGAGCTGTGACTCCATGGACCATGGGCCAGACAAATGTTTCTAGCTCCCCCAGCTAGGTGCCCTTTCTCACCCCTTCTTTGGGGGGGAGGCTCCCCTACTAAAATAGACTACAGAAAAAATGTGTGCCCTTATTCTAGCCTCTCTACTGGAGGACCTAGGGTTTGACGCACGGAAATGATGAAACCTGTATGCAAGGAAGAGGGTGGAGACAGTGTCGGTGGTGCTGTTCAGCATTATCACCCTGCTGCGCCTGGGGGTCGCGTCTCGGAGAGCATTTATTTTAAATGGGAAGCCTTGAATCACATCATCTTAAGTTTGGCTTCAGTTTGCGTCTCATTTACCCAGACCTCCCATTCTCCAATGCTCCCTTTCTTTTGAGGGTGTTTCCCTTTGTAGTTCCCTCTGAGACCCGACACGAACGGAAACCAAGTGATTGTTGAAACAAGCAGGATGTCCTTTCCAGGTGATCTACTTGTGGATTCGAGGGGTCCCAATTCTTACTTCTCACTCCCGGACTTGTTTAAAGAAGATGGTTTGCGCGTTCAGACTTTGGCCAATGCTTAGCATAGATGTCGCGTCAACCGGGCCCTCAAACGACTCACGGCTTGAGGTCGAAAGCCTTATGGGATCGATCCGTTTTGACCCCCAACGAAGCGATCCAACGATGGATAAAGGGGAGAGAGATTGAAAAAAAATAAGCACTGCAAATTGAGGGTCGGGAAAAAGGGAGTGATAGCATGCTAGCCGATCCTTTGGCTTCGAGCTTGATGTACTTGGCTTTGGGTCTCAAACGGGAGAAAGCGAAACTTGGAAGCGGCTCATCCCCTGCTTCAACTACTCGCTTTGTGCTGCTGAGAGATGAGGCCAACAAACATCCGGTGTTTGAGGTAATCCCACGTCCAACACACCTCCCTGTGGCGTGATGTCGGTCCACACCTGACAAACCAGAGGACCATATTCACTTCCGGGACATGGCAATTGTTAGTTTTACCAATTGTTAGTTTTCCTTCATTTACCCAACTGGCAAGGCAACTCGTTGCCGGGAGTCGAAGCTTGTCTCCTCAAGGAATGCGCGAATACCCGTTGTGAGAAGCATCCCTTTGTGGTTTGCTGGAGAATGGAGAATCCGGAGCGATCAACCAATTCCCGCGGGGCCCAGCCAGAAACAGTCCCATTTTGAGGACCCAAGTCGAATCGGACACGAATCGAACCCTCAGTGAGTCCTTCTGACCGAGTCGGGCCCCAGAGCCATTCGAAGTGAGGTACACACGCATCCCGACTGGAACCACTTTGGCGTCACTGCTGCCCCACGGTACTTGCTGTGCTCTGGCCTATCGACGCCATTCGTAGCCTCGAACATGGCACCTAGAGGGTCCCTCCAAGTTTCCTCAAATCTTCCGAGCCTCCCACTGCCGTGTTCGGAGGGTAGAGCCCGAAGCCTTCCAGGAGGTAGGGTACGATGCCGCATGGCGAGATGTTCTCCGGGCAGTGGGCCGTTTGCTTGTCACCTTTTGGGTTGCAAGGGAGCGTACGCATTTCAGAGCTGTGGTTAATGTAAGCGGCTAGTATTCCCGAATTCAAGTGACTTTCGGGGTTCGCACTGAACATTGATGACATCTGAACACACCTTGCTAGTACCAAGCACATGGAAGGTAGTTGCAGCAAAGCTGCATTCCCTCCTTTTGGGGGATGGGTTTGCCTCTAAGTTCAGTCAGCTCGTTGTTGCCTTTCTTTGTGCTGGCCCGGCCACTTTCAAGCTCGGCGGCTGCTTGGAAGGGTCTGGCTAGTTGATTGAAGAGACGACACGTGTGACGTTTGCGGACATGGGTTTGTCTTGAAATTAGGGGAACTCCAAACATGGCAGTTTTTCCTGTTCGTTTCCGCCTGAACGCCAAACAAGAGGGGTTTCCCTAAAACAAGACACACCTATATGCGGCATTTCTTGAAGGAACTGTTCGGATATTGCAATTGCTAAGGTTGATTCAATTTATGAAGCAACTACGCACACTTCTCATCCACCGTTTGAGAAACGATCAACATGTTGAGCCAAAATTCCCCGAAAAGAAGGACACAAGCCAGGGGAAGTACAGCTGCACTCAGTTGAACCTGAGTTCTTGGACTTTAAGCTTTTTGGGAAGACTATTTTGGTGGTAAACAAAAAACCATCTACTCAAGAAGTGAGGTTGGGCTTGATTTTGACCCGCATCATTGGACCCTCCATTGCAGGGGCAAGGGACCTCCGTTGGAAGGCTTCGGTTGCCTCAACACTTTTGAGGGGCCAAGTTGCTTAGGGAACCGTTCTTTCCAGACCCCGGTCGTGAGGTGCAATATCTTCATGGTGTTGGAGGCGTGGTCCGGCCGTCAGCACCCAGCGCCTACGGATTCGAGAATATTGGCCGAGTGTGCGTCAAATTTGGTCATTTTGATGGAACCAAGCGTCAATTGGTTTTGGGCGCTGCTCAATTGAGTTTATGGGGGTTGATCAATATTCCGTTCGGCCCCCAAACCACGGGTGACAGATATGTCATCTTTTTTCCAGCTGTTTTCCAACCAATGGTCACCCCATGTTTCCAGGACCTTTTGATGCACCCCCATATAATATGCCCCTTATGTAGTGGCCAGTGGTGGTACTTCCTTTTAAGGCTTTGTTCTTGTTTTGTGCAAAGAAAGATGTTGCATGGTGTTGTGCTCCCTGTTTAGTCGGTTGACAAATCATGCCGTGACCAAAACGCAAGGTATTTGAGCGGGGTTCGCCCTGCCTGCGACTGTCCCAGCAGTCTTGAATTCTGCGCGTTACATGTAACTGAGAAGGTCGATCAAAGAGATATGGGTTTGTCAACGAGAGCCCCGGGGCACACCTCAATGTATGACATGCGGTCGAGTCGATGTTGGATCAGACATTGATTCAACACATGGCTGGTCTTTGGTGTGACCGAATCGCCCCTTGGACCATTTGAAAACAGATGAGCTTTTCCAGTAATCCTACAAAGGCCACCCTGAACAGCAACCCAGAAAGGCAAGCTGGCTTGCTTCTTTCAACTTGAAGGGGGGCCACTCTATGAGAGAGATACAACCCAAGGAGATAAGCCTAGGGCTTCAGCTCTTGGATTGCACAAGCCACATCAGACGCTCAGCCTGTGAAGCCCGGGCAGTCGGATTCAACTCGGCCCCAAAAGCCCACGACCCACGAACCCCGAGAAACCCGTCTTTTGTTCTTCGCCGCCCAGAGTAAGAAAAGACGAAGCCGCAAGGACCCCCAACAAAGCACAACAAAGCACAACATACAACACGCCCTCTGCTTTCTCCGAAGTCTGGTTTCGGAAACAGGAGAGGGATCCACTTGGGGGACCTCCCCGCACCATGGTTGTGGAGGCATTCGGATTTTAGCTTGCCACTGCGCTGTGACTAGCGAAAGAACTCTTTTTGTAAGCGTGATATCTGGTAGTCGGCGGGAGTTGACCACTTTGGTGCCAAACGGTTGGGAGCTTTTGGAGACCCTTCAAACCCTTTTTGAGCAACAGGATTTTTTGAGCAACAGGAATGTTCTTTCAAACAACAAGCCGGTCTGCCTTTTGTGAAAAACCCTGTTTGGCGTTGTTGACAAGAGCCACACGAAGCCATTGTTTTGTGAAATCTGTTTGTCAGAGTGTAGGGAAACCAAAAGGATACTTTTGACATGGTTGTGGCACATTGGGTTTTAGGGCCACTTTCTGTGATACCTTGCGGGAATTTCATCAAAGTGATATGGGAATCCCATTTTGGTATCGCAGAAAGGGTTGGTTTTCCAAAGCATCAGACAAGACCCTTCATTGAAGGGGGGAAAGGGACCTCTCAGTTTACCAGTGTGGGGGGAAACCAGCAATTGTCTTTTTGGTTTGTAGTACAGGTGGTTCACTTAGTTACCTCACAACCAGGGAAATGGAATCTTTGAGACACCAAAAGGACAGCCACCATGTGCAGGTCCCGAAAACAAGAAAGCCCTTGTAGTGGGACCAGCAGCACCTACCTCTGCTTCGTTGGAAGAGACCATGAAGAGACTAGGTACGTGGCTGAAAGTGGCCGTTGGAAGGTTTTGAACCTCACGGATGCCAGGTGATTGCCCTGATCGTCACCATTCACGGCATGGCCACGGCTGAGAACCACGTGGACCGGGGGAAACGGGTTTGTGCAAATACTCTGCAGATTTACACCAAAACACAAACACAGGTTGGGTTAATATAGCCGTTGTTTGCTCAAGGAGTTTTACCACCTAAACGGGGGCCGACAGTTTGTGGGGTGAAAATGGGACTGTTTCCTTTGAGGGCCCGAAGGAGGAATTGGTCGCGATTCGAGCTCCACAGGGTTTCGAAGCGGCCTCGTCATCACCAAATCTGGGCCGAGGAATCTGGAACATTCTGAAATCTGGGATTTCCACGACCTTGCAGGGGACCAGCCTTAAACAAAAAGGAAGAGTAGCGAAGCGTTTCCTGCTAATTCTGGCAAATCACCTTGGATTCATTGGGATCCACTCACCAAAGTTAGCCACTTTTTGCCTAGGGAGTCACAAGTTGCAACGCACAAACGTTTCACCACTCCAAGGATGTTCCTATTCCACCCTGGGGTTACACCCTAGGCCTAGGCAAGTTTCCCCAGATAGTCCCAAATAAGCCAACATAACCAGGTTTATCTGGAGATAGATTCTAAACTACAAAATACTTCCCCAGGCTGGGCGCATTCCCAAATCTAATCGGAATATCCTGAGAACCACATTCTTTCGCTCGAATCCATAGAACACCACCCTTCCTCCGCGCGAAAGTCGAAGATCTGTGCAGGACCTGCTGTGGCTTTTCCTGGCCCGCAGCATGGAGATGCTGGAGCGGTCCGGTGCTGCCGTGGGAGTGAAGCGGGCCAAGCACATGGCGCCTTGGTGACCATTTCCTCCGGCTGCGGCGGGTTCAATACGTGTGCCAGGTCCAGGTGGGTTTTTTCTTCGAGGGAATTGGTTTTGGCTGGTATGATGTCAAATGCTACAAGGCAACTCACTTGAAGCAGGAGGTTTCAAAACCATAAGCGGGGGGATTTGGAGGGGCGTGTGTTTGCTTCATTTTCGGGGGTCCCCGAACGAGGGCCCCCTTTTTAAAGGAGATTCTGCTGGAAAAAAAACGGTGTTTCGGTCGGTTCCATGATAAGTTGCAGGGGACTGGGGATATGAGAGATATCATCATTGTGGAAATTGGGGTGGGGGGGTAAGGTGGCCACCTTCTTACCAAGGGTTTTGGCTTGGGGTTTGGAAGGGATTTCAGGCGAATACCAAGTGACTTCCCCTTCCAATTTTGATCACCCCGGTCTGACTCGATGGTAATACTTGGTCCCCCAGTAGTGCCTGTTTACCCTTCTTTTGGGGGAGGGTTCCCCTACTAAAATAGACTACAGAAAAAAAGTTGGTGCCCTTATTCTAACCTCTCTACTGGAGGACCTAGTAATGTTTGGTCCCTCAAGCTGGGGACGGTTTTTGAGTTGGCCCGAATGACCTGCCCCCACTGGAAGGGTCGATGTGTGGTACATGAGGTTGGTGGGTGGCAGGGATCTCATTTCTTTTCAGTAAGACATACCGTCAGCACACGATGCTGGTCACTGGAACTGCTGTGCATGGGTCTGTGTAATGAGCAACAAGTGAAGGCTTTAAGGTTGAATTGTGAGACATTTGAGAGTATGTTGTTTGGTGCATCCGCTTGGGTTTCGGTTTTGTTAGGGGCGATCGACTCGGCGCTTGAGGAAAGTGCTTGGTAGCCCCGGTTCTAACCTGTCCCCTTCTCCAAACACCCGCCTTCACAAGAGCATACTGACGAGAAAACATATAGTTTCCTATGGTGAATGCCTTCTTCCTTAGTCAGCGGCTGGCAGCATGACATAGAAAACAAGCAGGTATTTGGAGCAGGGGTGCGGTGGACTGAGAACCATGGGAAGTGGTTCGGAACTATGGTCCACCAAGTACCCTGCCGCGCAAGTAACACAGTGGTAACACAACCCAAAATCCTCTTGTTTTGTTGGTTCCATGTCATTCGCCCACAAGGAAGACACCTAGCGAGCTACAAAGGGAGGCCAAAAGGAAGACGATAATTAGCGAGCGTTTGTGCTCTCGCTTGCGAGTGACCAGCAAATCGTCCTAGGCGTCGTTTGTCCAGGGGCCAAGAAGGATTAACCTCCCACCAGTAGACCACAAATGGCCGCAGGGTCTGTCGACTATCAAAGGCGTTATATACTGTAGAAAACTGTTTTTTTCCAATCCGGCAGATCACGGACGACGGCAAGCTGCTCTTGGTGTCCGGTGTCTTCGGGCTGGTCATTTGGCTTGTTATGAGCCTTGGCTGCTGTTGGGATCTTTAGACTCGATCTTACCAAACAGCAACCCGAAGGGTCATGGCCCCGGGACCCAATGCGGCCCGCGTCTGGGCCCCCCTTCAATAGAGAACCAATAGCGGCCAATTCCTCAAGGGACCCAAAATTTAACCCGTTTTGAGGGCCCAACAAAAAGTCGAATCGGATCGCTCGCTGAAGCTTTGTTTTCGAGATTCCCGAAGCAGGTTATGGGTAAGGGTCTTATTGTTGTTGGCCCTTCAAAACTGGGACTGTTTTCAAGGGCCCCTGAGGAATTGGTCTGGGTTCCTCATTGAAGGGCCCATAAGGTTAAACTTTGGGGTCTGCATCAAAAAAGGACATGACATGACCCTTCGGACTGGTGAAATCTCGAGCCATTTGTGTCTTCCTGCAAGGAGTGGATTCTACTTCGTTGCGAATCGCCGCTGGGCCGGCAAGACGCACCTTCCTCCTCGGAACTGCTCTTCCCAAAGTCTGAACAAAGGACTGCGACCCTCCCAGATTTCCCTTGCAACCGGATCAAGCACAGCCACGGTCCGCAAGGACGATGGATCATTTTTGACCGCACAGATTCAGTTGCCACTATACCGGGTAGTAGCAACTGTCACATGCAACTGGTCCAAAAGGTTCATCAAGGATGCCGGGTAAGCCGGAATTGTTTACCTCTTGCTTTCACCACGGTTTTTCCTGGCGAATGCTTTCTGGGTACTTGCAGGTGAAGTAATTTTCCGACCCAGGGTCCATGAAATTTTGCGAATCGAGATCTATATGGGTCTGCCCGGTTTCTTTGGGTACCCTTTTTTGTGGTTTTGAAGGGAACCCAACAGGAAGAACACCCTCTTGAGGGGTAGCTAGGTTTGCAAGAAACAAGCCGCAGCCATGGTGAATATGAGGAAGGGTCAATGTTTACTGTCATCTATGTCACTGGAGGACATGAGCGTGAGCTTAGGTCACAACTGCGAGGCGGTGTTCGAAACGGACGACTTCAAGTGGCAAAGGCCGGAGATGTGAGGAGTTTGCCATGTGGGGGTTGATCAAAAGGTGCTGGAAGCACGGGTCGACTGGGGAAACCACAAGAAAAGATGACTTCCACCACTGAATGGGACGAGTTAGCCATGGTCATTCTGGGGCCAGGAAGATGGATTAACCCCCATAGGTGCCAAGGTCAACACCTCAGGTAACCTTGCTGCTTGGGGTTGGCTTGGGGCTCCCAACTGATGAGAAACAAAAGCGGAACACCAATCCAAGCCGGGCTCCATTAATTGGAGAGCTGACTTTATGTACTTGGTGAATATGGCTATAGACCTCACAAGGAGTGTAGACAACCACTGCAAGTTGTTTTGTTTAGAGGAGCCATGACCAACACAAAGTGTTGTGACAACGGTACATATCGTAATATGGTGTCCAAATCTGGAAATAGTTTTAACACATGGGGACGTACAAACATGGCTCTGATAGCAATGTGCAACAGCAGCTTAACCAAAATCCCACTTTAATGTTCAACCGACTTAGTAGGCCATACCCACGGATAGTGCGTAACCCCGGATGGGGGGGGGGGGGGGGCGGGAATTTTCGGGGATGGGGTTTGGAGGTATGGAGGTATACCACTTATGTAAGGGGTTTTACTGCCTTACAAGCTTATTATACATATCTATACAAATGCTTGTATTGATGGTATCTTTTCACATCCATACCTCAACCCATACTTGAAGATGCTCTTGACTAGCCCACCAATGTATTACCTCAAATGGTTGAACGCCCCTTGGTTGATATCGGCCTGGCTAAAGACCTTGCATTATCGGAGGTCTCAGTTTTCGCCTCCCCCCAAGATGGATTTAAGGTGTGCTTTTGGTTTAAAACCAAGCGAAATGTGTTCCTTAAAAATAGACACCCATGTTTCTGCTAGAAGGTGGAAATGGAATCAGGCATGCAACCATCATTGGATTGCTGCATAGCGATCAGAACCCCCATCGAAAAGTGTTGGCTGCCTTAACATAGGCCCCTTGTCGGGCCGTCCGTTGAAGACACAACAACGTGTTCCATAGTAAATACTCTTGTTTTTAGTTAGAGGTTGACACCAAGCCTGAAGCAAGACATGGTATTTGAAAGGGCCAGTTGGAATTCCCACAGCCCAAACCCGTGTAAGTGCGGCTTAAAGGAGCGGACACCTCCGCTTTGGATTCTTCTCACGGTTTGGGGTCCACCAAACTTCGGCTTTCGAATTTGCGAATGGCGAGTTGAGGACCCAGGGGCCAAGAGAGGAGCTACATGGATCACCTTGCTGCTTCGTGACTGATGTTAAAGCGTTTAAAAAGCAGCTACTTGGCAGTTCATGAACTGTTCAAAATACGTAGTCCGTCTTTCTTTTAAGGGTACCCTTTTTGTGGATTGGTCAAAGCGGAACCCAAAAGGAACATCCAGTTTGTGGTATCCCTACTTGGCAAACCCATATACCCCAAAACAAATCACCAGGGAGGGCAATATAAGGAGTTTCGTTCTCTTCCCTTGGCCTGTGCGGGGCCGAAGCGGGTTGTTTCCCTCAGCTCGGGGTTCTCCCTTCCCAAAGTGGGAGTTCCTGGCAGCTCCTGCGTGGGGTTGTGGGGTCACGACGGTCACAACCCTAGGCCCGAAAAGTGGCTCCTAGGGCCGATAAGTCCTCACTGTTAATCTTGGCTTTGCTTAGGGTCTTTCACGATTCGCCAGGTTCGACTCGATTCCTTCCTCCATGTGGTACGTCATGATCAACTTGCTGAAAGAACATCCGCTGGCGGATGTACACGACACTCGGCCCGGCGGCTCTTTTGGCTCGAAGCCTCAAATGAGCCATCGAAACCCGGAGAAGTCCACACCGCCCAACTAGAGTAGTAGATATCCCCCTTTTGCAGGGTTGTGGATCCCGGGGTTTATCCCCACTTCTGTGATACAAGGGAATCTCCTTCTTTGTGTGGGGGTGTAGTCTTTGAGAAGCTTTTTTTGTTGTATCACAGAAGTGGTCATTTCCCACGAAACTCTCAAACACAGCATCTGCTGAGGAACCAAAAGCGCCAAGCAATCTGTCGGGACAATGGTAGCAACTGTTTGAAGGGCCCAAATGGGGGATGTTGCCGCTACAAATTTCAATTGATGGTCTCGGGATGAGCAGTTTGTGTGAGACGATTTACTTGCCCTAAGGGTCACAACCCCAAAACCCAACGCAGATCCCACGGTACGGGGCCCTCCAACGAAGAAGGGGCCCTTGAAAACATCCGGCTTTGAGGACCTGGTACCTGGGTCGGATCAGGGCTGACCTTTGGGGGACCCTGCAGGGTTCATTGCCACATCCCGACTAAGGGGGTCCCATTGGAGCCAAAATCCATGGATCGGAACCTTTCGCAACGCCAGTGTGGAAGTGCCTTACAGTAGGGTAGACATGTGGAAGCGCCTTATAAATGGAACCAAGACCATTTCCAAGGCCCTCAGGGTCATGACCCCAGACCCGCGCAACCGCCAGAAGCCCGACCTCTCAGAGCCAAGGGGCCCTCAAAAACCGACCGCCTAGATAGCCAAGTTGCGATCGCTTTTTCAGTCACTGTTGCTGGTTTTTTGGGTAAAGTGGATGGAAAGAAGCGATCGCAACTGGCGATCCAGGAGGCTTGGGGGGGTTGCAGAGGAAGGGTTGCACATTCCCAAGGAAACCCTCTTCTCTCGGTCTTTGGCCTGGCGCTCAGAGTGCGAAAGAGGATTTCAGGTGCTGCGGTCGGCGCCGGTTTGTGGTGGTGTTAAAGGAAAACAAAGAGGAACACCGAAGCCAGTTGGGAAAAGGAAGACACCCAAGTGTGTGTGTGTGTGTGTGCGAATGGACCGGATCTGAGCTTTTGTTAGTTTGTGTTGGCCAAACCATTGTTTTAGGGGCCCAAGGTGATCACCTTTGATTTCTGGGTGCTAGCTGAGCAGCGCCAAAGTTGAGGTAACCCTAGGCCCCAAGCATCAGCAAGGACCCTCCATAGGGCTTTGATCAGGACCTCCATTGGAAGGTTTCGGACCCTGCAAATTGGAAACAGGTCCCAGATGCCTGGGGGGTAAACATGTTCGGACAAAGTGTCCAGTGTAAGCTGTATTTGGGAGAGAGATGGGATGAGCTCTAAATGTTATGTCAAAGGCCAGGGGCCTACTGAATGCTTCGCTTGGGGCATGCGACATTTTCAGTGGCTATGGTTGCTTTCCCTGAGCTACCATGAGAGCCCACCAAGCCTTGCGTTGGAGGGAACATGACCTCCGTAGGGTGATGGACCTCAAAATTGGAGGCCCAGTGTTGGACAGCCCGGGAAACCCGAGGCTTTCCTCGCATAGAACCGACAAGAGCGGTCCCCCCCAAATTTGTTTTGCAATGTAATCGGCAGTGGCTCAAATTTGAAGAGCTAGGATTACGCAGGTTTTGGTCCATGTTTTCACTTACCAGAGTTCCATGTTGGTACCGGGTTTTTGAGCCATACCCAATTGGAGATAAGAAGGTCGGGTCCCAATTTGTTGGACGCCCAAGGCTTCTGCTTTTGCGGTCAGGTTTGCATTTGCTGCATCTTCGCGATGCCGCTCTTCGCTCTGCCATCCAGCGTCTTGGTGGAAGGCTCTTTTTGCAAATCGCTGCGATTTGGATCTTGGACCTTAGCTTTTGGGAAGGTAGTAGAAGGTAAGATGTAGAGAATGGTATAAGGGACTTTAGGTTGCCTTTTACTTTAGAGCCTTTATTTGTTCAGATGTTCTAAAGCTGTAGAAGGTAAAGTAGTTTGGGAGCAGACCCCAGTAGTGCCGAAAGGCATCAAGCAGGACTCTCAATTGAAGGGGAAGCAACAGGGCCTCCATTGGCGGTTGGTTGCCTCAAAACGGATGCATTTTTGAGGTTTGATGCCTGGGATTCAAATCACCAGGAAAACAAAATCTGGTTGGGTCCATATAACCATTGTTTTCCTATACCCTAAGGGTGGAATGCAGACCCCGTACGGGGCCCCCAATGAAGAACCCCGAACAAGTATCGGGACCCTTAGGGTCAAGAGTGTCATCATTTTAGCTGGGTCCTTGGCATTCTTTGAATGATGGATGAACCCCAGCGTATTTTTTTAACTTTTTGGGCAGGGAAAATAACCATCAAGCAACCCCCTTCTTTCGTTCATAAGACTGCTCCTACCACTGTCGAACCGCACACACTCAAACACACATCCGGTGTTGGTGATATCCTATCTTGGTCAAGGGAATGTTTTTCGTTCTTTTTCTTCTTCTTTTTTTTTTTTGGGGGGGGGGGGGGCGGGGGAGCACCCGCAGCTTCCTACCCAAGCAAGCCTGTCCAAATCCCAAGGAAGCTGTTTGTGACGTAGTCCACGTGTCGCTGCTCAAACTTTCTGGGCGAAAGCCTTCCGTCAGAACGCTCCGCTTGCCCTTGGAAGGCCAACAACTGTCTTCCTGACCCCCTCTCCGTTCTGGACAGCTTGCAAAATGGGTTTGCCATGGGCAAAAAGATGCTGAGAGGAGCTGTTGCTCACAATACCCACCTCGGGTATTGTAGCAAGGTTTTCCATGAACACCTTGTTTCTGCAATCTGACATCATACGTTATCAACACGCAGAACGCTTGAGGCTTTGCCAGGGGAACCTCTCAACCCGGGATGCGCAACCCTGACCTGAGAAGTACAACAGATGCGCACCTTGCCAGACTGTTGCCCCAGGTTTTGGGGGAAACACCCAAAAGCGCTGGGCTTTCCAATTTCCGGGTGGCCTCAACAACCGCCACACACACACGCCTCGTGTTTTTCTTCCGAGCAAGCACTTAGCTTGAACCAGAAATCAAAGCAATGTATGTTCCGTTCGCGCGTTGTTTCGGTAGACTCCCTTGAGGTTTAATGTTGTCACTCTCTTGGAACTTTGCCGGAAACTCAAATCGGCAGAGGGATTGGATGTTTGGTCCCATCCTGCAGGGACTCTGTACCAATGATCTCAATGGGTAGCTTTCCTTTTCCCATGAAAACACCCGCAGACAGGACTCTTTGCGGCACGGGACCTCTGGAAGACTTGGAGGGCCCGGGTGTGTGGGGCACCCAAGGGTCGCCCCAAAGGCATTCGAGGCCTTGGGCCCTTCAAAATGGACCCTTGACCACTCCCTGCATTCCGGAACTTTAACCTTTTTGGGAAGACCGTTTTAGTGGTAAAGGGAAAGTTCAGACTTTTTGTTGGCCACTCGGGAAGTGAGCTTGGTGCTTCCATTCGAAGCTCCAGCGAGTCTTGGTGTGCGCGTCCGGCAGAGGTATTTTGCAGTACTCGCTCCTGGCCAACGACGAGAAGAACGATTCCCAAGTGGAAGCTCAGGCGGGTTACATTTTTGTTTTCTCACTGTATGACATCATGCCCTAAGAATTGTGGGTCGGTGTGGGGAGCCCTTCTTGCACAATGAGAGCAACCACAACCCACATGTTTTTGTAGGTTTCGCAGTTGGAAAACCCAGTGGTGTGTATGTGTATGGCGATTGCTCCCACATTGCTCCGTATTTCCAGGGTGTGTGTGTGTGTGTGTGCGTGTGCGTGTTTTTTTTCACATGCAACCTTCAAAAAGCAGGGTGTTGTGTTTTCCATTCCAACTGGTAGGTAGGCTTGGGAATCAATGGTGTTGGGCTCCGTGAAACCTGTGGATTATTTGATGGTTATGCCCCCGGCTTGGGCGACGCAAAGCCATTATGAAGCAAGCCCGCTTCGCTACAGAGAAGAAAGGGTTGAAGCCTCACATTGGGAGTTGGGTGTGACACATCGGGACGCAAGTTATATATATATATATATATATTTGTATACAGATATGTATCTATATATATATATATATATACATGTGCTCAAATTGGTGGTGTTCCTTTTGGTTGTCCTTCAACACCACGCAGAAGGGGTTCCAAAATGTTTGAGCCATATGTCCCGTTCCTGTGCTTCCAGGCGGTCGACCTGGCTCACCGAAGGCAAACGCAGCAGGCAGGCTCTGGGAGTTCCGGTCAGGGGTTTCAGACCTGAAGACCGCACAAAGGACAATTGTCCGTGGACAATCGAACGTGTGAAGCAGCCAAAAGGAACTCCTCTGGAACACCGTTTGACAGAACCTGGTAGGAACCGTCACTCAAGTGATGTTCAATTGGTTAGACCCTTTGGCGGACATCCGAAATGCAGGTGTGTGTGTGTGCAGAACGACTGCTTTTTCGAAGCACACTCAAGTTCTGTCCAAAAAGCACGTCAGAATTTCATGAGGATTTGTGTCCACCAACCATTTCTATGGACATGGGACGCAACAAGATTCCCCCTTTCGGAGGTGTTAAAAATCAGCCTTCACAATCTTTCAAAGTTTGTTTTCTTTGGGTGGAGTGAAGAATATAGGAAACCCTGAGGGTGCTTCCACATTGAGATTCATGATATTGGTATTCTCGGTGCTGGTCCGGCTTGCAAATCGTCGCCTGGATGGCCGCACACTCAAATGAGTTGGAACCTCCCCCCCCCAACACTTCGGGTTTCCAACTTAGAAACCGATGGTCTTAAACCGTATCCCCAATGGCGCTGCGTGAACATGGTTCGAGAGGGGGTGCAATTATCCCCAGGCGAATGCCTCGTCAGTCGCCTGTTCCAAAGGAATCCTTTTGACCTGACTGGCCAAAATAATGGCCTGCTTGGTACCAAATCACAGCTTCGCATGACGTATGCCCAGAACCACCTGGCAGCAGCCCACCTCTACTCCGCTAGAAGTACGAGTCAGGGTTCCACCAAATCACCTGTATGTGTTTGTACCATCGACTTCGCTGCCCCAGCCACGTAAGTCAATCATGTCACAAGGGTCCAGCAGAAGTCCAGCGGAAGTTGCGCCAAAGACAGTGACAACAATTCGTTTACCGCAGCACTGGGAACTACGGATGCACTGCCGGAAGGCAAGCAGCGAGGTGGTTAGCAATCTTTTGGGTGAGTCCCCCTCAAGTCCCGCGCGGCTCCGTCCCACATGTCCCCCAACCAGGTGCTTGCAAGAGGAGCTTCCCTTTCCTGCTTGCCTGGCTGAGTGCCCTGGTAGGCGCCTTCAGCTGTAGGTAGCCTTGTGCGCGCGCGTGTGGGCGAGACTGGGTGTAACACATTACGTTTCAGGCCACTTGTTTTTTTGCAGACCGCCGCTTGGCGCGGCAATGTAACACATGTTAGGATTTGAATGTAAGTCGGTTTCTTTATTCGGGCTCGGAGCTGTGTTCATGGTAAATGACCAAGCCCCATCCCAAACGAAGCGTTTTGCTTTTGGACAAATCGTCAATCTAAGATCTAAGGCCTGATGGCTTAGTCTCAACAAGTCCATGTTGAAGCCCCTTGAGCAGGTTACCTGGTTTCTCGAAACCCTGTTTTGTTGGTACATGGCCGGCTTCGATGAGTTTCCGGGTGCCCCGGAGAAAAAAAGAAGAAGGAACAAAAACGGTGCCCCAGAAGAAAAAACAAGAATAGACCAAAAACAAACAGAAACGGTGCCCCGGAGAAAAGAAAACAAAAACAAAAACTCGGACGTTCGTCGGGTTTCCCGACACCCGCGCATTCGCTTCAGCCAGGCGGCGGAGCTGCTGCGGCTTCAGGACGAGGCGCGCCAGAAGCGACTCCATGGCCTCGCGCGGAGCCCCGGGTCGCGGATCAAACGGTGGGGGTGGGATGAGATGGGTGTGGGTCAAAAATAGGTACACAGAATGGCTTGGTAAGTGGAAGCAGGTCAAGAATCGGGGTTTCCAATGGCTTGCCAAAAATGGTTGATGAAAACGGTGGGTAACCACAAAATGGCTTGGTAAGTGGAAACGACTAAAACCTGCGGTCCAAAGCCTGGCTGAAGTTTGAGCCATACCCAAATGTGTCCTTTGGTTGGAAACCCACCAAAAAGATGTCTGATGTTTCAACATGGGAAAACATATCCATGGTCATTTGGGGGCCAAAGGGAATATTGCTCGACCCCCACATAGAAACCCACATGTGGGGGTTGATCAATACTCCCCCCCGAATCACCACGGGTAGCCTGTTTGTCACATTTAGTCATTTAGTGGTTATTCAAAGAGTTGGGTCTCAAAAACATTGGCCGCTATGGGTTCTCCATTGCAGGGCCTCTATGAAGTCTGCGTTGGGGAGGTCGTGACTTTCGGAGGCATAGAAGGGAGCCAGCTAGTTGAAAAAAGGGGTAAACATCTTTCCTGCCATAGTGCTTGCCTGGGATCTGCTGGATGAGGCAGCCCTGAAATTGGTTTGGATTGGCTGTGTGTTTTACACGGGTTCTTGCAGAGGGTCGATGAGCATCCTTACCTCCCAATGCAAACCTTTCAATGCTCGTATTGCAGGTACCAGTATAGTAGTCAGACACGAACAGAGTGCACAGATCAGTTGTTTGGGTTTCTGAAGCCTGTTACGACCATCATCAAAAGGATGTGCATTGCTTTGGTGGACATCACGTAGGTGAAAAATCATGCCTGCCGCCCGCTTTTGAGGAGGTTCCCTTCGAAAAAGCCAAAGCCATACCAATTGGTTTGGGGGGATGTTTGTCAACCCCGAATCTACCGTGGAATCAACACTGCTACAGACGCCAACACCAATGGCAACTTCCCCGCAAGTCGTTGCACCTTTTGGGTTATCCTTGGAAGGGATACAATTCTATCCAGTTCTTCAGAACTCCTCTTTTTGCCCTTTGGTGGCCTCACATTCCAAAATACATCAACTCGACAAAATGCTGATGGACAAAATCCAGCTTTCAAGCAAGACGCTTCCGAGTCTGTGAGTCTGCGAGTTTGCAAGAGAGACCTACGTTTCTGAAGTACTCGATCTTTCGCCCTGATCTGGACGAAATATGTTTTCTTTTTTCGGGGGGAAGACCATTTAGTTGCAAACAGGTTGCTGATTTTTTGCTAGGCTAGTCTTCGAACTCAAAGCAAAAGGAAGATCGGGCAAGACCTGTTTTTTTCAAGGGCCGGTTTCGGTTCTGTGGGGTGCCTTTTGGCGTTGCTCCAACAGAAACGAAGGACTGGGCGTGGGAGAGAGCAGATGGTGGGAAATCAGCTCGTAGCTTATTTCAAGGCCGTGGTTGGTTTCTCCACGGGGGCCTTCTAATTGGGATGGGAATCAGCTTCTTCAACACAAATTTCAGGACCCATGTCCCATGGGCGAGAATGAAATTCATGTTCAACTTAGGTGACTGTGGTAGTTTCCCTCAGTTGCCTCAAGTTGTAGCCATTCTACCCGATTTTTTCTACAATATGGAGACATGGCGTCCAAATCTCGCTTCTATAAATGGGGCTTTGGGCGCTACCAACTCTTGTCCCTTACCGGTAGCCAGGAGAAACAGTTGCTGGGGTGGCTTGAATTGGGAAGGCAAAACCTGCTTGTGGTTTGTTTGTTTGGGTGTGTGCCTGTGTATTTTGTTTGTTCTCTTCTTTCTTTTTCTTTTCTTTGGGGGGACCATGTTTTTTTTTTCACGCACGTTTTTGTTTGTTGTCTTCGGGGGAGTGGGGGGGCTAACTAAGGTGTTTTTTTTCCACACACCACCTGGCCCCACTATCCATGCTCGACACCCCACTGATCCAAAGATCCCAGGCCACAGTGGTGCTCAGCGTCGGTGCCGTCCTTAGCTTCGCATCGTCAAATCGGGATGCGGAGCCCCCAAAATGGGAGAAGGGCAATGCAAGATGCACACCCGGACTCCTCATGCGTTTGGGCCTTGACTCGCGAACCGGGGAAAAGGCAGATGTTCCAAGGTTTTGTGTTTGAACGAGCTGGCGAAACATCGAGCATCTCATGTGTCCCGTTCACAGATCAGCCACGCACCTGCAACATGTGCACCTGGGCTGGTCGATCCCTGAAAATTGGGCAGGCCTTTGGCAGAGATTCAGCGAGGCTTCCTGACGCCGAGAGATTGCACCTGTTGATTGTTGCTATAGTGTGTCTGTGTGTGTGTGTGCGCATGTTGCTTTCACGGAGACTGGTGTTTTTTTGGGGGGGCGGTGCATGGAAATGGTTACCATGGAAAGCCTGTTTTGATTGAAACGTATACCCCCAAAATAAGCAAAACAAATACCTCACCGTTGATTCCGGGCTCCTTGGCCAAGGAAGTCAGGCAGTCAAAGGCCCCACTTGACCAGTGGCCCCCCAAGAGTCTTCCAGCCCATAGACGGCCCATGGGCGCATCCGTCAGATGAGCCGAGCCCCGAGCTCTGAGGATCGATCTTCGCCTATTTCTACTACACCGCGCGAGACACGGACCACTCGACCTTCTTCACCGCTTCTCGGGCTGAGGATTTTTGGAACTTCAAGCGTCCTCGTTTGGTGCTGGATATGGAGAACCCAGGGCTCCAAAGCCAGCCATGCCGAACCATGGCTTGCTTAGGGTCTCAGTTGAAGCCTGCTTGTGGTTATGAGGGCTTTGGGGTTCCTGCATTGACAGGTCCTGGATTTGCATTGCGTCCCGGGGTCATGAGCGTTTGCGCACGAAGGACATTGCCACATGAGCTACCGCGACAAAGTGTGCATAAGGGGTTATATGTATATCTCGGAGTGGAATCGGGTGTGCAAAGCGAAGACGACTTTGAAAACGACAGCTTCTCTTTTCGCACGTGTCGCCTTTTGCAGTGCCGGATGAAGCCTAACAAAGCCGCATATTCATGGCCGTTTGGTTTTGAGAAGCAACAGTGAGAGTCGAAAAGAGTTTAGCTTCTGAGACCCCCAGCTTGAAAGTAGTCTGCCAGCAAGAAACAGAAGTACAAGGCTTGCAAAGAACAAGCTGCCATAGTCATACCAGCCTGTCAGAAGAGGAGCCGGTTGATGTCACACATGGATGAGGCACGCATGACCAAGGCATTGGTAAAACGAAGACGACCTTGTAAAGACGACTGCTGTAGATCCCAGTTGATTCCAGCTACGACCATAGTAATAGTCTAGTCGGCAACCACCCGTTGACCTTCTTGAGTTGAATGGGTGTTTTTTTGTTCACCTACTATACAGGGTAGACATCGTCGCCGGCAACACAAACCCCCTCGCTGAGTTGCCGGTGAAGATCGACCATGAACGACTGGCCTATGTGGATGGCTTTGTGGCCTTCATCTTCTTCTGCGAGTATGCCGCTTGGAAACAGACCCAGCCCAGTAGGATACGATTTGTAGGTAGCCATTCATTTGTCTTTTCTTGTTTCTCTGGCGCTTCTTTCAGGTTCGCTATAGTTATAAAGAACCTTTCCCTTGATACACTATAAGCAAATGGTGATAAAGGGTACTTGTTTGCCGGTCAACAGGGCGGTTCCCTCAATGGCATCACACTGAGAGCTTGAAGGAAGTGGTTGAAAGCCCCAAAACCTGTGAGTTTGAGGTCGCTTTCGCTTTTGGATATTTCTTCCCATCAAAGTCAAGCAAAAGCCGCGGACAGGTGACAGCAAGCTGGGAGGACAGACCTGGAAACCCATATGTGACGTGTTTTTGTTTATTTTCTGTCCTTGCGGTTGTCAACATTTTGTTGAACCAATTCGTGTGGTATACGGCCACTGGCCAGAAAGTTATGGGAAACACGATCAACTCCCCATACCCGCTCAAACAGTCCCACGAAGCATCGCCCTAAGCAAAAATATCGATCCCAAGGGGTCGGCTGTGCACTTGAAATTCCTGTGAATCACGGTTTTCTGGGTTCGTGAATTTGCAGAGGTCCAAGCCAGAACAAGCGTAGGATGCCTCAAGCAGGCCCCATTTCGTAGATTGGGATATCCTCGATAGGCACCCAGAGTTCCTCAGAGGTATCAAGCTGCCCCACTTTTCCTAGAAACATGGTAGGAACCATGGATAATATCACTTACATTTTGTTCAATTGCGTAGGCCCTCTACTTCTTGTGAGAAGAAATTGAGACATGAATAGCCCCCCCTGTCCTCTCCAAAAGAACAACCGTCTGCCACAAATATTGTCAATTGCCCATCCGATTGATTCCAACCAGGCAACACCATGGGTTTGGTTTCATAGGTGTGTGGCCATGTTTTTTTTGGACGGAACCTGCATTTGGAGTATTTGGTCAAACTATGTTTGGAGTTTCTCCATTTTTGTTTTGGGTCATTCGTGTTTCGTTGTTTCCTTTGTCGGGGGGGTCGTCCATTTTGTTTGGGGTCTTTTGGGCTATCCCCATTTTGGCTGAGCAAGCTCCTTGTGCTCGTTTTGGTTGAGTTGCGCCTTTAGATAAACCCACGGGCTGCGTATACTTCTTCTGCATGCTTCTTCCGAGTTGCCTGGCGACGCAAGCCGAAAACTGGTGACCCCCAAAGAAAATGGAGACTTCCCCTGTCGAAATATCGAAGTATCGGGTTTGCCCCCAAAAAGAACAGTTGAAAACCCCAAAGCCCCTGCCAAGAAGCAAGCATCAATGAAATCCACCCCCCAAAAAACCTCCCAAAAAGCAACAGGATGATCCCAGAGAATCCCCCGAGAATTCCCTCCAACCCAAACAAACTCGGTGGAAAGCCCCTCAAAGACCCAGCCCCGGCGGGTTTCTGCCGCCCGAGGCTTCGCGGATCAGCTCCGGGGGCGCGGGGTACATCGGCTCCGGCTACGGCCTGGTGGACTTAGTCGCGTGGCTCCCAGGATCCGGCTGGTCGAGTCGCGCGTGTGGGATCGACGTGAGCCGGGCTGGGGCTGGGTATGCTTGGGAACCAGCTGGTTTAACACAAAGTTGTTGGACGCATGTTGCACGGGAAATGAAATTCTTCTGGGCTACTGTGGGAATGTTCACCCCATATTAATCAACCACAGTTGTGTTTTTGGGAGGTGGGGGCCCCTTCAAAAGTGATCTGATTCACCAGCAAACCCAGTCGCCTCTGTCTTGCTGGTGCGAGAGATGCAGGGGATAAGACACGGAATGACCCCCGAAGTAAACCATCCAACTGGTGGATTCCTTTATTCGCGAATCCTCTTCTGGTTCATTCCGACATTCCCTATACCTTTTTGCACCAGCAAGGCTTGTTGGGCTGGAAACTGCGCATATGCCCTTTTCTGCTTTAGGGCGATTTTAGTTGGATCTTTGGACTTTCACGGTTTGGTTGAAACAGGTTGGAATTCTATTGGACCCGCAAAAAGTGAATGACTTCTTGCAGAGGGGTCTCGCCAACAACCAAGCAAACAACGTTTACCCATTTTTGGGGTCTCCTCCAAAGCTATGTCATTTTGTTGGATTCAAGCACATGAAACTGACCCCTCTTTGTAATGCCTGCTGGCTGTCAGTCTCTCAGATACGGACATGACCCCTAAGCTTTCCTGGTGGTAGATCCCTGAGTTCATTGCCAAAACCGGTCATTCCCAACTTGGTGATTCGCAGCCATTCGCCTCCTTAGGGTTTTAGCTTTTTAGGGTTCAGTGGTAGCTTCTACAAAACCACGAAAAGTTAGACCTTTATGCCCCAATTTGACAGCCCGACTAAGGAACCAGCCGGGTTCGTATCGAAAAACAATTCACAAACACGAAAACACACACACAAAAACACACAAAACACATTATAAACAAAAACAAGCACAAACAAACCACAACAACAACAACAACAACAACAACAACAACAACAACAACAACAACAACAACAACAACAACAACAACAACAACAACAACAACAACAACAACAACAACAACAACAACAACAACAACAACAACAACAACAACAACAACAACAACAACAACAACAACAACAACAACAACAACAACAACAACAACAACAACAACAACAACAACAACAACAACAACAACAACAACAACAACAACAACAACAACAACAACAACAACAACAACAACAACAACAACAACAACAACGACAACGACAACGACAACGACAACGACAACAACAACGACGACGACGACGACAACACGACAACAACAACAACAACAACAACAACAACAACAACAACAACAACAACAACAACAACAACAAAGCACACATCTGCGGCCAGGAGTGCTTCATATCGCCACCTACGAATCCATGAAGGATCCGGGTCATGAGATCCTGGCGGCCTGCTGCGCAGCTCGGACTCGGAAGATCTTCGAAGATTTTCCACGAAGAGAAGTCAGAAGATTGACATGGACCCCTAACATGGGCGGCGACCTCGAACATGGCCATGGGGCATAACCTTTGGCGATCCCAATTTTGGGGTGGATGAAAATCCAATTGCCACCTATTTTGAATGTCACCAGGGGTGCAGGGATTTGACCCGCAGCGACATGAGTGTGTCTTAAACTTGGGGACCCCTTCAGAATGTCAGTTTTTTTTGGTTGATTCCCTCTGAAGGCCGAAAAAAGGGTAGCGAACCTCAACAAAAGACGCTCCCGAATGCGGGTCATCCCGCAACTTTGATGAAACTCCGCAAGCCATGCTGGTAAAGTATCACCGCCATGGCTTTTATGCCCGTCACATTGAGAATCCGCAACACCCACTATGAATCCAATGGCATGATGCATCTGCGATCGACAAGACCGCCCAGAAATCCAGCCCCAGGCATCATGGGACCCTTGAAAAGGGTGAGGACCTCCATTGGAAGGGTTTGGACCTCCATGGGCCTTGTTGAGGATGTTTAGGGAGGAGAACGGGCTGGGAAAAACCCGCAAAACCAAATAAATAAAGATGGTTGAAAGAAAGCAAAAACGGGCCCCCAAGGGTCATGACCACGATGCAGTGCGAAGAGCCCCAATGGAAAACTCATGGCGATCAACTCCTCTCCAAAAGAGACCCATTTTGAGGGGGCATCCATTCTAGAGTTACCAGTACTCACAGAACCTACACGCTATCGGGGGTTACATTCACGCACAGAACCTACAGGCATTCCGAGCCGAGAGGTTATGCGAATCTTCAAGCTGGAGAGATACTTGCACTCCTTCCGCGACATGTTGGACATTGTCAAGGACGGGAGATCGGATCGATCCCATGGGTTACCCCTATGCAGACACGACAGGGGACCCTTCAATGCAGAACCCCGACAGGTCTACAAGTTCTGGGCTTCAGCACAAGGCCGTTCTTTTGCAATCCACTTGGGAGGGGCTCCACCATTTCAGCGCCTGCGCGTCACCTGCGCGCTCGACTGAACTGCTCGATTTTTTGTCCGCTTCCGCGCTCAGGAGAATGGGGGCATCCTTACCGCAACATTGGCGGCTCAGCTGCCCTCAGCTTTGATGTGGCCAATGGAGTGGTCATTTAGCGCGGAGAGCTACACTCAAACGTGGGTTGATGGACATCAATTGCGTATGTAGTTTCAAGCTCAGACACATATGGCTTGGTTTCAACACGAAGCGGGGCAGGGGGGGGCATTTGACGGACCAAGCTTTTTCTTTGACAGTCTCAAACTTGGAAGGATTGGTTGAACCGGGGATTGTTTGTGTGCAAGAAGGTCAGGATTCCCTATACTTTCCCTTTGTGGGATTTCAATCACAAACTCTCAGACACACACACACACACATTTGCGTGTTTGTTGCCCGCAAAGGGCACTGAAGCTGGGAAGCTGGCCGCGAGGTGTTTTCCATGTTTGTGTGGATGCTGTTCTCGACCTTGCTGTACCTTACCGAGAAGGCTGCGTCCCGCTCCTGGCTTCGGTCGGGTTGAGGAATACCCAGAGGGGAGCAGTTGGAGACCAGACGGGTTTGCTGGTCTGAAAACCTGGTTGCAGGACCCGAAACCAACAAGAAAAACGGAGCGTTTGGAAAAGGAGCAAGCATGGGCGTCAGCGTGTTTTCGGGATCAGCCATTTTCCATTGGGTGCGAAGGGGTCATTGGATTCTAGCTGACCACCTGCGGTGATCATGATCTTAAGAGTTGGAACCACCTCCAAAGCAAATGTACAATTCGCGGGATGTTGTTGCCCTTCAAGGCGTTTTTGGGTTTCCTTCATTTCTCTTGGGAACCAGCAAGAAGATTACGTTTTGAGGTCGGATCTCAAGCCTGGCCAAGCGAACCCGCGTCCAAGTTGGGGTCATTTTTTGCAAGCTCCGGGGATCAAACGAGTTCCATGAAGATTCTTTTCAGTTTGGGAACTCGCAATGATACTCCATTGGTTTGGGGGTTTCTGCATTGGGTGTGTGTTTTTTTTGTCGCGGGCGCCTTTTTGAGCGAGCCCGTTTGATGCGAAATGGGCCTTCAACATCACCATTGGGCTAATTTCCGTTTTTGGTTTTCCCTGAGGGGTGAGGCTTCAAGGGGAAAATATCGGGGACGGCGCTTACCCCACACTGCCCTTTGCCTGAACAGCAAATGGCTTTTCCAGGGTAAAGGACACTTGTTGCACCCTCATCAAAGTGAGTCGAGTCCAATTTCTGAAAAGGAAACCTGGGGGCCAAACATGCAACATATAGACTGCTTACCTGAGGTTAGCCTGAGAAACCCTGCCCCACGTCGCGCACGACCCCAAGCCGCCCGATGACCCTTCATGGAGAACCCAAGGACCTCTTGCCCCGGAGCCCCTAAGGTTCAACCGATTCCTGTGAAAAATGGCAGCGTTGGCAACCAAGCCCTTGGGACCCAAGAAAAGATGTAGCTCCGAAAGGGTAAACAACTCTGAGCTAATATGAATAGCCCCATTTTGCTGTTGTGGCAGTTGAATCCCATGTTTCTTTGTCCTCCGTTTTGTTCGCAACAAATAGAGGGCATGCCTGGATCCCAACCCCCGCCCCACCCCCCCCCTTCCCCCCCTTCCAAAAAAGAAGAAGAAAACAAAGCTCGTGTCTTTGACCCTGTGCTGAATGCCAAGCATGACATCCCAAACAAGGTCCCATGAGAGAAGATTCTAACTATGATGGCTTTGGCACTTGCCCCAAAACAAATCGCCCTTCTCACCTCTTGGTTCCCCAACTTGATCCATATATGTGATCAAGCTTTCGCACACTTTATCTTCAATGCCCTTTTATATGTCCATGTTGCTCGGTTGCAAAATGAGATGTCCTGAGATGTGTTCTGCAAGCGCCTTGCCAGCACAACCCCGACGAAGAGATGAACGACGAGGTCTATGGCTCTGTCATGAGATCTCTTTGGTCGGAGATCATCAATTTGCAGCTCAGCGGACATGGACCTCCAACTGGAGCTTCTTTTTCTGAGGCAAAATACCGAGGAGCAGCCCAGATTCCTCAACCCCTAGTACTCACTTCCTGCGTTCATGGACTTGAGTCACGTTTTGGGTTTGGACCATTTCAGTGGTAGATAAAGTGTGGCCATTTTTCGGGGGCCATCAACGCGTTCAAAAGTGGCAGTAAGACCCGGGTTTGACACGCGGCTTCGGAGGTTCAGAGAGCTCGACCTGTTTGGGTCAATGGCCATGTTGACGTTTCTCAGGATGATCTGTTCAAGCTTGGTCGGTCTTCAGTTTTCCCGCTGAGCTTTTTTTTTGGTTTTGTTTCCGCAACCTATGTCTAAAGTCAATATAGGTTGAGAACAGTCGGCTCTGAAACAATACATGTGGTGTTTCTCAAAATGTTGGAATCCTCCAGGTGGTTTCTTTTGTTTCCTCTAAAAACCGTTCAACAAGGGTTTATTTTTTGAGACACCATGAGTCGGAATGGGAACTGCCCTAAAGCATGGTGGATACAACACCCCGTGTATTTCTGACGTCCACCAAAGATCCATGTTTAATAAAGAGTCATGCCCTCGATGCCATTTCTTGCGGGTTCCTTTTTGTGGGGAGTTCCCGACACTTTGCCCACGTACAGTTTTTTGGGGAGTAAAAGAAGGAGCTGAGGAGCGGAGGGTTTTGGTGGCTGCCCCACAAAAATGGTCTTCCCAAAAAAGGGTTCCCTTTTTTTCCAGGGTCACTGAACAACTCAGCTTTCCTTTTGGGGCAATTCCATGTCCACTTCCATTGGATGTCTCAGGCACGGAGAGTGGCCCTGGGCAGACTACACGCCCTATGGCAAGGCGGGTTCTGCCACCAAACACTCCAAATGGGTGTGTCTCAAAATAGGGACCCCACGAACGGTGGTTTCCTGTTGGTGTGCATTTTCAATGAGCTCAGCGTACCAACTCCAAAAGGGGCAGCCCCAAATGGGTCTGTGTTTTGAGGCTCGGGAAGGCCCTTGAAACCAAAAGGAAAGCCACATGGTGGTTTCCATAGATGAACTCGGCATGCCCTCCAGGGTCCCAGTTCCGTGAGCTGGTGTTGCATACTTTTTGGCATAGCTCGTTTACCTTGTGGGGTCACGGATTTTGTTTGGGCGGATTTGTGACAGAAGGAACCCAAACGACCCGTACATCTCCAGAGGATCAGACCAACAGGGGTCGGTTAGTACTGGGGTGGTGGGGTACCAATTCTGAAACCAAATTGCAACGTATCCCCTGTACAGGAACATGGCTGACCAACCCTGGCCGCTGAAGCTGGCCGACCCCGTCAGGCCATTGGCACCGTGATCGGCCTCTTCAGCATTATGCTCTTCTGCATCCCCATCGGTATCTTCGGCGAAGGCCACTTGGAAGTGACAGGGCCTGTGAGTCCGTTTCCCTTCAGTCAGTCTCAGTTGTTCCAAACCAAGCTTGTGACCTTTGGGCTTTCTCTTGTTGGCCCATGACTAAACCATGGCCTCAAAGGTTAACCATTGATTTCTGGGTCCTTTGGGCACCTCAGGCACAGCGAATTAACCCTAAGGAACATGGCGAAGGATGTCGTGGGCTTTGCTCGTGTGAGCCGACTCGCAAGAGGCCAGTTTGAGGGTTGTGCCCGTTTGCTTCGCCCAGTGGATCCCAGTTGCGGCTGTAGCATTGATTGCCCAGCAGAACTGGGTATGGGCCGGGGCAAGAACAAATAAGCTCAAACAGCATGCGGTGAACCTCGTGCAACCCTCGTGGAATCCTGGTGGAACCCTGGTGGAACCCTCGTGGAACCCTCGTGGAACCTTACCTCAGGGCCGCCCCGGACCACCCCGGAGCCTATCTGGGCTAAGACCCCAAAGCTTGCAGCTGTTGGGGAAAAAAGGGATATCCCTCAGTTGGTGGTTTAGATTGTTGATTTGGGGATTTGAACTCCTGGTGAATGAGAAGCCACCCCTAAGCTCCAAACCAATCCAAACCAATCCAAACCACCAATTAGCGGGACGCAGAAGCTTAAAGGCCCCACTTTGGCTCGGGTGGAGCGAATTTTGTTCGCAGCCCTCCGAGGCTTCGCGGATAAGGTGAAGGCGGATCGTGATCTCTCCACCGCCGACGAGGAGTTCGATCGCCGACCCTGGCAGGAGCCAACGTGCAAACACCCTTATGTTATTTTAGTGGGGATTCAGGCCACTTTGGGAGGGGAACATTTTTATATTAATAAACAGGGGTTGATTCGGACCACTTTTGGAGGGGAACGCCCCTAGATTAATAATCAGGGGTTGATTGGATCAAAATGCAACCACCATGGGACCGCCTGTGCTGTGGCAAATATGCAGCCCAGCGCCCGCCACACCGAAACGGTGAGTTTCGTCTTTGAGGGGCGCTATGCCCAAACGCCTACTGCGCGGGCCTCCAAACGGAGCGGTTTAAGGTTCTGGGGTGTGCCTAGAAGGGTTGACCCTTGCCTTTTCCCTAAATCCATGAGCGTCTGGGTACAACCCTACACCAGTTCCCCTACCCCTCCCCCCTAAGTTCCGACTTGACTGTTTTTGGGTCCTTAAACACGGTTGCTTTTGAGACCCATCGCAGTCCATGTAGGTAATATATATATATATACCCACATTTACCCTCCAATTGGGTCAAATTTTGGTATATGGATGCTTTGGGCATCATATTTCCTTCATGGATTGGGATGGGACATATATTTCCTACATGGTCAAATGTTTAATTTGGATTGACCCTTTGGCCGCATGACTCCAAGGCTTGCGGCATAGCCTCGGACTCCAACGCTCGCAGGAGTGCTGTCGCCCAGAGAACCCTGGCTTCAAACAGAAGGCGGGCAGAACGATCGCTGTGGTGTTTCATTGAATACATCGCACATGTTTTTTGGGATTCTGATGGTTAAAGGGTGAGACAAACTGTTTCTTGAAGGTGTCAGTTTTGCGGATCCCTTTGATGGGTACCACAAAGATCCCGTGGGTTCCGAGTCTCGAGGTCTACGACATGTTCTACGAGGATCTCCATCCAGAAGTGCACCCCACGCCATCGCTGCCTGGCGAATCAAGATCGCGAGGGTGCGAGGGTGCGAGGGTGCGAGGGGTGGATCTGGAGGAACAATTCAGTTGGACCCTCTCATATTCAAGTTCTAATGTATGTTCTGCAGAGACCCTCGATCTTCCCCCAGCCCAGCACTCCAACACCACATCGCTTTAACCTAAGCATTGATTAGCCCTCCGTTGGACTTTTGATTGAAGGGGCAAGGGACCTTTGAAAGATTTTGGACCTGAAAGCTCAATGCCTCTTGCCGCGGGGAGTCCAACTTGATGTTCACCCGACTGCTTATGTCCAACAAGGCGGTCCTTGCGGCGTGGGATTCCAAGATATTCCAAGTCTTAATTTTCCGCAAGATCTTCGGTCGCTGGGATTGGCGCATCGTGCTTTTCTTTTCACAAAAATCGAAAGGAGAGCCGCTCCCTTGGCTTCCAATTCGTGTTTCGAGGCTCCAATTCGATTGATTTAGGGCCTTTAAACAAGCGTGTTGTTTTTTTACCCCAAGCATTTTTGGGGTGTCGAATGGAGTTGGGTCTTCCATTGAGAAGCTCCAAGGAGCCTCTGGGTAGTTTTTTCAGGGAAGCCTGGAGTTTAGGAACGGAAAGCCCATGTGCCCAAGAGCGGCTTCTTACCGAAAAGGGTGGTCTTGTTCCCATCGCAGGGATCACGGATTCAATTTGTCCAACTCTTTCAGTTTGCACAGTTGCCGGGGTTTGAAAGGAGCACCACCAAAATCATTCATTGTGGTTTGCTTCAAGGGGAGTTTGCGTTTGTTCGATACCTGATTCCTTCTTCCTTTCCGGACTCCTCCAAAACAGGGTTCTTTTATGGTTTGTTTGCTCTTCAGGGAGCCACTCCAGATGGTTTTTCCTTTGAACACTTTCTTATCCTAAGCATCAAACGGGTCCTCAAAACGGCATCCGTTTGAGGCAACCACAGCCAAAACCACCGGACGTCCGGTGGCCCCCCCTTCAACGGAGGCTCCAAATGCGCGGCAGCGTTTCCCCCTCTCCGACTAAGCGGGCTTTGCTCCAGGCATATTTGCTGAAGAACAAGAAACATGTCTCCCTTGTTGGTTTTAAAGGGAATCTATCACTACTGGACATATATTTAGTTTACTAGTTTAAGCAAAAATGGAAGTATACGTTTGACACAAATTACACACTGCCATCATTGGAGTTGGGGGTTGACTCTGGGGTTAAGAAGAAACTGCCGGATGCATGGAGATTGTTAAGGGGAGATCGAGTCCAAACTTCTATTTGGTCAACTGGGGTTGCAGGGCCCCCATAAACCTCTATGAGCGTATGGACTTTAGTTTTGTGGAGAACGGTTTGTCCCCCAAAACCGCAAGTTCTTTAAGCTTGTGGGAAGACCGTTTCAGTGGCACGGCAAAAAGTGTGGACTTTTTGGCCAGTCGACTTTCTTGCTCTTTGCACAAGGGGATACAGCCATCAGGTTGGAACCAAAGTCGGCGGGTGTTCAGGCGCACTCCCTTTTTGTGGAAACCCACCAAAAGGACCCCAGAATCGACCCTATCGGCCCAGGCCCTAAAGCCCCCGTTTGGGATCGGTTTTTGGCCAATTCAGGTTGCTCTTCCGCGGGGTCCGGGCTGTGTGTGTGCTCTTGGTGTCCGTGACGACGGTCATCACCGTCATCTCCACCGTGGAGGAGTGGAAAGGATACGAGTTCCGCCGCTTGGCGGTCCCAAGGACTAAGTGCAACAAAAGAAATATATTTGTTGTATGGGGTGTTTCTCAAAATGTTCAACACCCCTGCAGGTTGCTGGTTTCCTTTTGGCTTCAAATAGAACCATCCCAAAAGGGACCCCTATTTGGAGGAACAAACATATATTCGACTTAAAGGGAAACCAGAATGGGTTCGGATTCTCTGGCCATTAATGCGATAAATGAACAATTGTCAACATTGGCCATTATTTGAAAGGGGGTTAGAGTAATCGAAGCCACTGTCATTAAACATGTTTCCAAATAGCCCTCAGGTGAAACCACCCAACGCAATGGACCCAGCATTGGGGTCGAACCGGACCTCCAGTGGTTTTGGTTTTGGTTGCGGCAAGCGCCACATTGAGGTACCAAGGTTCTTGGACTTGGATGTGTGGGCGGTGCAATCAATCCATGTTCGCCCCGGTTTTTCTTGGCGGGGCGAAGCCACTTCGCTGCCCCAAGGCTCTCGGGCAAAGCATCAGACAGGACCCTCCAATGAAGGGGTCTGGACACTTTTGAACCGCGAGGGCCTTTTTAAGGATTAGGGCGGTCTAATTTGGGAGGCTGCAACCTGGGACTTGTTCGCGGGAATGTTGAGGGATGGGTCGCTGTGGGTTCTCCAGTGAGGGGCCGGGAAAGTGGACTGTGCATTGACCCCAAGTTTGTAGCAACCCAGGTCTCGATCTATTGTGGGGAAACTGGGACTGTTGTCCACCGAGGGCTCCGGGGTTTTGCATGAGAGAGCCCTTTGCAGGGCTTGCAACCATCGAGGCCAGGCGGCCCATGTCAAGACAAGGAGCCTGGGGTGATCATAGAAATTGGCGGAACCTCCATGGCACACGGCACTTTGATGGCATGGCAACCGACTTTCGTCGGTAATACCCACACGTCCTGCCAGAGGTTCGGTCCAAATATCCTGTCTATGGTCGGGAACGAGTTGTTTTTACCGCAAAACCTGGAGGAGCTATGTGAAATAAGTGCTTTTGACTGTGGCGCACATGTCAATACCGATTCAGGTCCACAGCAAGGGGAGTGGGCTCATGAGAGGCTCCTAAAGATCACTCAGTTTTTTTGGCCGCATTGGCTGCCCTGCTTGGCTCTGCATCAGTACTAAGGCAACCTTGAAACGGTGGTTGGAGAAGTTCATGCCTTCCACCAAACTTGCTGGTGCTCAGTGAGGAATGACGGTTCCGGGTGTTGGGAATGAATGGGATCCTAAAGGAACCCAGCCGGGATGGTCTCATTGGAGGTCATTCTATCTCTCTTTCCCTGAGTGGCACCCAGGCAAGCCTGAAACTCAGATGGGCCGAGCCTGCGCCATTGCCGCTCGCCTGATTGATTTTGGGTTCCGTGTACACGCAGACGGGTGACGTGATGATTCAGCCTTTTTGGAGAACGCGAATCGCGACCAATGTTTGGGGCAACCATTCTTCTTGCTGGTGCGATAGGTAGGGAATGACCTGGGGTGTTGGACATTAACTAGGGATTCCCTTAAAGGAAACCATAGGGGACGGGTTTTGTTTGGGTCATTCCATTTCTCATTCCAGCAAGTCTTTTTCGTTTGGATTGACCCCTCGGCCCGCGACCAACTCGTCGCTAAAACTGGAAGCCGAGCTTGCGGGACCCATCAAGCGGGCCCAAGGCTGGAAAACCTCAAAGTCCTGGCCCTTTGAAACATGGATCCTGTCTGCTTGGGATTGGCAAAACCATAAGCTCGCGTGCTAAAAGGAGCTGACCCATGAGTGGAAACTGGGCAACTGGGCTAAGCTCACGTGCTGAAAGGAGCTGACCGACCTATGAAGGTTCAGGGAAACTTGGAGATTCCTCCGTTTCCAGGTGACGCAGTTTGGAAAATGCCAAAGATACTGTATATGTCAGGGTCCGCGGGCCGGATGTTTGCAGTGGAAACTGCACGACACCTCTTGGAAAGTCCAGTGTTTGTAAATTTCCTTTGGTGATGTTTGTAGGTTGGAACAGTTGGAACCCTGAGTCAGGTGTTTGAACCTGCGATGGCACATTCGAATGTTGGAACCCTGCAGACTGCAGTTCAAACCAAAATGGACGGCTCAAAAGAGGCACCATTGAGGCTCCCTTCAGTTTCATCTAGATGGTCCCGTTGCCATTCCTGTAATGGGAGTCGGTTGAACCCCAGGATATACCTTCGAACTTTTCAGCTCTGGCCTTTAGTTTCCTCCTGCCATCTCCATCCTGAGATTGACATCGTCGCCACGGTGTGCGGCGCTGAGTGGGCCAGGGGTCGCTCAAGGGCTCGAAAGGTGGGTGACTCGTGAACCGCATGAACTTGGCAGACGAAGTGTCCATAGGACTGCATGTGACTCCAACGGTGGAAAGGTAGTGAAAAGGGTCCAAGGGACGCCTCTTGAACATGTCTATTCTATGGATGGCCCTTGTTATCATATAGAAACTCGAGGTGTGAACTGAGGGCATTTTAGCATGATGGTAGCCCCAATTTCGATGACAAAGCTCCTGAACGGCAAGCAAGGGTGGTTATGTTAAATGAAGGGAATCACTGGCCAGTTGGATTTGTCTCGAAGCCTTCAAAATGAGCGGGTTCTCGGTTCTCCCTCTGGTCAGGGCTATTCGGGTTTGGCTTTTGATTTCGGGGACTCCCCTATGGCAAGGCTTTCCTGTTGGTGTCCCGTTGTAACTCACTCCGTGAGTTCCTGGACTTTGCTTCTCTCTTGGGAAGACCATGCTTTTGGCATCTAAGCAAGTTTGTTGCGTTTGCTGGCCAGTCCGCGTGAGAAAGCCTTCCAAAAAGGGGTCCCTTCGTTTTGAGACCGACTTCCACAGATGGTTCATCGTGGAGTACGAGCTGCGGAACCTGTGCACTGGCCAGCGTCACCGCATTTCCTTCGTGGGGCTTTGCGATGCTCGGAGCGAACACCAGTCTCTGCCAGAAGTAGGCGCGGCAAGAAACCCTTATTCTTTACCTGGCTGGTTTCTGGTAGACCCTTTAGTATGATTCATTTGAGAAAATTGTCCTCCTTTCGCCACCAACGACCAAAAGGCTTACAACTTGACCACATTTCGGAAGCTGAGCAAACCCCAAGGGGCGTTAAACAACAGTGGAGGCGCTACCAGGGTTCATTGGGGTCCACAAATGGAGCACACGGTGCCGATTTCCACCCCGCCAGACCAGAGGCTTTTGGGCCGTGAAACTAGAGGCATTTTGAGACCCCAACAGTCTACTCGGACCCTCAGGGTAGCTCAAGTCTTTCTGACGAAGTTGATGGGGTCAAGGGACTTGGAAAACTTTGGCGGGCGCAGGAAAACCAGCACGTTTCCCAGATCCCTTGATCAGATGACCATGAGTCACGAAGAAGTGTTGACCATGGCATAGTTTGACAGACGTCCCCCCAAAAAACTGAGGCAGAAGGTTGGAGGCCAACAAATTCCCTGATTTGCTTTTGGGTAATTGAACTCTATTCCTATGGTAAGCAGAGACAAAGTCGGGCCCTACCCGCAGAAAGGTTCCCAAGTCCTTTCCAAGAGCTGCAAGGAGAAATTTCCTTTAGACAGTTTCCTGGCGGTGGGGGGGCTGAGGTAGCTCTGTTGCTGGTCCGAAAAGGGGCGTTTGTTCTTTGTTGTTATTTGGTTCACCACCCTAAGAGTCTCGACTTCTTTTGGGTCCTCAAACGTTGTTCGTTTTGAAGGGCCTTGAGGAATTGGTCGCTGGCTTGTGATTGCAGCTCCGCTTATGGGGTTTGCATAGGGGTTCGGACCTGGCAAATCGCTTGAATGGGATTCCCATGATGAGTCTCCCTGAACCAAAAGCGAGGGGCGACTGGGACCTTTGGGTCAACCTAGGTGAGGTAGGTAACTCGTGTAAGGGGACTAAGCGCAGTTGCCCCGGCTACATCAGGGGTTCCTCCATTTCCCTTGTTGGAACCTCCAAGAGTTGCAGTTTCAGTGAACACCAGCAGGAAATTGCAACTTTTGAGGGGGAAGAACGGGGAACCCTGTACAGCCATGATTGGCTACACAGCCAAATACTGGCACCTGTGACACATGGACTGCCATGTTCATGATGAACAAAATCACCCCAGGCCCCAGTTGGATGAAGCCGAGTTTGACCCTGACAAACCACCAGGCAATCGCGAAGCGTTTTGACAAGAATCCACTTGGCGTGGCTTGGAAGCTCCCATTTGAAAGAAGTCATCCTTTTGCCTGTGAAGGTTTATGGGGGGCACCCTGACAAATTGTTGGTGGACCAATCCTTGCGAACGATGGCCTTCACAAGGGGTGCTCCAAAAACAAACACCCATCACTCCTGGTCCGAACAATCTTTGCTCGGGTTAGGGATAGTCGATTCAGTACGCATACCCTTTGTTTATGCCCCCTGCCTTTCCCAGTCAAAACATTTTAGGGCTATATACCCTCTTTGGGGAGAGGGACATGGACGTCAGCATGCCTCAGCCCAAGTATGTACAAGTGGTCTGTAAAGACATCCTTGACCATTTGAAAAAGATAGACAACCATGCACCATGACAAAGATTTCTTTCTGAAAAGGACCAGGAACCTCATTCGACGTTTCAGGATTTGCTCTCCATCGTTGCCTTCGTTTACACCATCTATGACATGAGCAAGCGAGAAAGTGCATTCCGACCAGGCGCCACGGGCTTCAGCTTGGGGTCTGCGAGGTTCCCTAGGGGATTTCCGATTTTTGATTTCTGAGCCCGCAAACCAGAAGGGACTTCCCATGCAGAACTCATGGCCACCAATTCTGCCCCAAAGCATGGGAATCCGGCTTGGCTGTTCAATTGCGGAGTGTGGATCTGGATGTGTGGTGTTCAAAAGTGTTGGTTTTCCAAGAAACGTGACATGTCGAAGGTTTCCTTCAATCCAAAGGCGGGTCGCCATTTTGAGAAGACCCTAGGCCTAGCCCTGAGCCTGAGAGAAAACCGTCTCACCTTGTTTTTTTCCAAGGTTCTTCACTATTAGGTCGTTCGCAGTTCTCGGGATAAAGGGTGGTTTTAAACATCTGACAACTAGGGAACCCTGCAAGGTGTGTCGTGTGTTTGGCAGTGGCAATATTCGCGTTTCCGACTCGGAAACCTTTTTCGTTGGAGTCTGGAGTGATTAGGGTCAGACTGAGACTGGTTTCACAGAGAAATTCAACAAATGCTTTCGTTGGGTGGCACCTTAAATCTATTGATCCGTTTGTTCATAGTTTGGGCAAACAGCTCGTGGCTCGTATATACGTCACGCCTGTTCCATTTCCCCAAGCGGGTAACCAACAAACAGGAGTGAAAGCGGTTGGCCTATAGCGGGGAGCCGACCTCTGAAAGCAACAAGGCTTACCATGGGAACATGGGTTCCACTGGCCAGAGTTTCTGATGTTCCTTTTTGGCAGTTTAAAACAGCAGCCTGTCCGGCCAGCCGCTCCGTCGCTGGGAATGGCATCGAAGCGCACAAGCCGAGCTAGATTTCCAATGGAGGATGTTGACAAGCTTGTTTTACGATTTGTTGGCAGGGTTCCTTTTCAGAGTGGCTCAAAGTTTATTTTGAGCTTGTGACAAGCCAGCCAACTCTGGTCAAAATTTGGATGGGGTGAAAGCGAAGCCAAACCAGAGAAAACCGGGCCCGATCTGGAAAGGTCCGATTCCTAGAGGCTTCCTTGTCCTTTCTTGACTGTTCCATGGTAAATACTCGCGCTTGATACCCTAAATATGAGTAAGGATGGGTACTCGGAGATTGGGGATTTATGCATTCGAATGACATCTAAGGTACTCACCCCAAAGAACATATCCTCTATCGAGTCAAACAATATTTGCCCCCCCGGCAACAAAAAAGTGGTGGTTGAGTTGTCCCTTTCATGTCTTAAAACTTGTCCAAGCAATGGGCACGCATCAAAACAACAAGCAACAACTAGGAGGTTTTTCCTGAATGTAAAGAATCCGACAAGCAAAGCAACAAAACCGGAGGCCCACCTTTGTCCGCTTCCATTTTTTGCTTGCGTTTTTTTTTTTGTTTGTTTTTCCGGCTTCTCCAAAGCAAAAAAATCGGAGGCTACGAGGACGCGAACGTGCTGGTGGATTCCGTGGTGCTCTTCCGACTGCTCCGCACCTTCAGCTTGGCGCCTGGGGCCCAACTCTCTGCTGAAACATGCGGGGGGTTCCTCTAGGTCCCCCAGCAAAAGGGTGCCCTTTGAAAACCGTTTTTCTTTTTTGGTTGGGAGGGGTCCCCTGCTAAATTAGACTACAGAAAAAGGGGTGCCCTTATTCTAATCTCTCTACTGGAGGACCTAGCCTCTCCCTTGTTTTATGTTTTTTGAAGGGGGAGGCTCCTGAAAAACATGATAACCTTTGGGGGGACCGCCAAAGATTGGGTAACCCAGGTTCATTCGAAGACCAAGGGAAATGGATGTTACACTGGTGAAAAGGGACCAGCCTCAGCATCAAAGGGGATGAGCACTGGGTATGGGCGTGATTTTTTTGGGGGGTGCAGGACACTTTGAGACCTTCGGACATCAGACTTCGGTGGGAGTGTTACTCTACCCCGGGGTCTCGCCTGTTTTGGAGCCCTCACTGAGGCTGTTTGCCGAGGAATCGGGGAGAACCCGATTGAAGGGCACCCTATCATTGGAGGGGTCGTGACCCGGGGTTTCAAAGATGGACTGAATATGGACATCACAATTCCCCAATAAAATCAGAAGTTATATGAGAAATCATTTGAGCTTATCATGTTTGGTTATAATATATATATATATATATGTGTTTGTTGTTAAATGTTGGGTTAGTCAACACAATTCCGCGATAGTTTGCCTGCACTAAATATGACACGAATCTGAGTATATGTTTTTTGGCGAATCAGGGAAACCTGACCCTGCGTTAACTTCACATTGAGCCCAGATCTATGTTAGTTTGGGTTCCATGTTAATCTGCAGGGGGAGCATTTCAGGTGCCGCGTTAAACAGGGTCCAATCGAAGCAACATCCACTTAGAGGCAACCAACACCCTCTACATGGAGGCCCCTTTGCCCATGAAATGTTGTCGACAGATGAATTGCCCATGTGCGTGGCCAGCTTCTTGCCACGTTTGGGATCGGGTTTCGGTTCAAACAACATCTTAAGGGGCCATTTGTTGAACCCAAAGGACAATGGTCAAAGCACCCTTTGACACTTTGGACTCTTTGGGAGTTGAGACATCCATTTTCTTTCCAATTCTCTGCAGAAAATGAGGGAATGACCCCTATGAACCATCCCCTATGGTTTCCTTTGAGGGAATTCCCAAACCCTTGGTCACTTGCTGAGCACCGGCAAGTTTCACGAGCTACCCACAGAGTTCATGGCACAGATACTCACTTGTTGCTTTCGCTTCTTGAGTGTATTTGTTTTCTATCAGAGCCAAGGTTGTAGCGAAACCTTGCGACATCTTAAACCGGGGTTTTGTTTGATCGCGCAATACATGCAGAGTCTATACTTTGGGTGCAGGGATTCGGTCCCCGGACTGCTCTCAGGAGAGCTACTTCTATGCGGTGCACAGCCTGAAGTGTGTGCACCTTGGCCTGTGATGAAGTCGGAGTTTCGGGTTTTGGGCCGCAAGTAGGTTCTGCGTGGTTCTACCCTAGTATTTCTTTGAGGTGGCAACGGTGCCTTCTTGGAAGCTCAAGAGGTTCCTGATTAACTATCCCGCCAAAGTGAATCGACCTGAGTGAAAAGGTCCTTTATATGGGATTACCATTGGATGGAACCACCTGATATGTCCCACCAAATGGGAAAAGTTACCCTTGGTTATTTGGGGCCGAACGGAATATTGATCAACCCCCATGTATCAAACAAAATCCGGAGATCCCACCCTTTGAACCTGGACACGTCAATTTCCATGCTACCTGTTTTGCCGTCGAGAAAATGGTTGATTGGGACCTGAGCCCATTCCCCTTATAACGAGGATGCTTTCTGTTTTGCACAACCAATGTTTTTGGACTCCCACACTGTGTCATGGTCCTTATAAAGAGGATGCAGTTTTCCGCGACCAGGGTTTTGGAATCCCATCCATATGTCCCTTGGTCCTTGGTTTTGGAATCCAATGAATATGTCACATACTATTCTTGTTCTGTCTGTCCTTTTTTGGGGAGGACTACACTGACCAACTCGACTCTGAAGGTTGGATGATCGGATGGTGTCCATCACGTTTGTTGAACAGCCGGAAAACAGCCAAAACAAATAGACAAAACAACAACCACACAAAAACACAAGCAAACAAAACAATCAGACAGACAGACAAACAAACAAACAAGAAACCACACAAGCAAACAACAAGCAGTCAAAGCAAGCAAGTAGACAAACATCTAAGTAAACACCATTATAAGGCAAGCAGGCAATGCCACAAACAACATTAGACAGACATGCAAACAGCGCGGTCACGACGCACAACAAGAGAACGCTGCAAGAGTACTGCAGGAGTTGCACAGACAGACAAGAAAGCAAGCAAGCAAACAAACAAACAACTAAACAATCAAACAAACAGGCAAACAGAACAAACACATACACAATACTTCGAACAAACAAACAAGCAAGCAAACAAACAAACAAGCAACCTAACAATCGAACTAAAAAACACAAAAAGCACTCAGCAAACAAGCAATTCTGCGTTCGGCCTAGGTTTGTCCTGAACAGATGGCCCTTGTCGCGAGCTGGCGGTGCGCTGGTGTCTATTTGGTTTGTCCACGCCACGCTGCCGCTGGGCAAAATTGAGTTCTGCTTGTGGTTTGCGCTGCGTTTTTGCGAGCCAGCACCCTCCCTCCAAGGGTTGTCAATTGAAATGGCAACCACACAAGGGCCCTTCAGGTACAAATGGACCACCCTTGGAGGGTGCTGACAGGTATTTTTTGGAGTTGGCACAACGGCAAACGCTGGGACATCAAATTTGATCCAACCAAAGATCAATTATGCAAGCACTGACAAGTGTCACTGTTCAGCTTGTTGTGGATACTCTATCTTGTTTAAGTATGTCAAAGTATGTTTGACATTGAAAAATCGTGAGGGTACTGGAAGGTATCTTTTTGGAGCTGGCTTTAAAGGCAAAGCACCAATTTTGGGGTCCCCCTATTTTGCACACACACGTACAAGTATAGGGCTGGTGTGTATTGGGCAAAGAGGCTTGGCTGGGTCCGGTTGGAATGGGGCAAAGCGGTCCATTCCTGTTTGTGTTCAACGTTCTCGGTACCCCTTACTCCAAATACAAGCTTTTTTGGGTATGATGTCATGGTATGATGTCAAATAATGTCAGGGCCTGACTAAACAGAGAGGAATTCACCATGGGATGCATGTTTTGTTCAAATGTTCCATGAACAAAACGGGCGTTTGGAGTAAGGGAATGTGTTCGCAGCTTTTTGCTTTCTGAGTTATGGTTCTGTTTCTTTGGTGTTGGGGCTGCAAAGAACATTTACTTTTTGCTACCACGCTGCTTTTCTCACTTTCCCATCGACCTTTGAATGTGTTGGTTCTGAGTCTTGGGTTAGTCAAGGCCATCCAAATGATGGTCTCCCGCCGACGTCCGAGCGAGTTAACCCTTTTCAACGTTTCAGCTGTTGGTTTGTAGTTTTTATTTGTAGATCACATTTCTGGGTTATGGCTTCGATGCCCTTTCAGCTTCCGTACTGCTCATGTGTTTGTGTGGCTCTCCGGATCCGGGGAGGGGGGTCAAAATCAACTGCATTTGGAGGGGCACGGCAGCTCCAACAAGTTTCCGCACAGGAAGCGCCGGAATTGTCCTAAGTTTGTTGTAACCGGAAGCATACTCTACTCTGCATGGACGCGGGTGGATGCTTTATCCGCAGTATTCATAGGGTTTGATCCATCCCAACAGGTGCACTGTTTTTGTCCATGCCTTGTGGCTGAAGCCAGCTTTGTGAGTTCACCCAATGCATTGTCCAGGCTCTACATTTGCGAGAGTCCTCGCATCCTTGGTCATTTCCCAGGCACGCGGAATAGTTGGGTGTAGCGGGTTATCTCAAGGACAGAAGCAGAACAAGTCAAGGTACCGTTACTCAGGAGACTAGAGGCTCGTCTCCCTTGAGGGCACCGGCCCCCCCAAAAAAAGACACAAGAGAGGCAGTAAATAATAGACAAAGAACTATATCGGACGCCCAGTACGGCAGTGGTCAACCCTTCCAGCAGCTTAGGCGGATCCTGATCCCCCTGTCCCGATTCTACAAATTCTGGGGGGGGGTCATATCTTAACTGAGGTCTCTGTCAAAAATGTGTATATGATATGTAATTGTAGACTAGATATGTGGAACGGGGGGAGAAGATATGACATGTTCGGAGTACCGTTTTGGTTGGCAAAGCTCAATATGAGACTGCATGCAGGTGGGGAGGGCACGTAGTGGATGTCCATTTTGCTTCAGATCCTTGGGTGAGTGGAACCCACCCGCAAGCCTTGTTTTTGTAGAGTTCTTCCGGAACACCCCGTCCTTTGGGACGGAAACCCAATGTTCCCATGGAACCAGCAGTGCAAAAAGTATATGTTTTTTACTGCAAGTCCAGCCCGAAATCGCTGTGTTTTTCGTGTGAAGGTTCGCGACTGAGTTGCGACCAAAAACATTTGCATAGGGAGCTTAGCATTGGATAGTCTTTTCCAGACACGCGGGTCTGGCCAGAAGCCCGGTTGATGCTTTTCCGTCGGGCACTGGGTAGACTTTGCCAGGTTTCGAGTATTCAACAGGAACGCTAGGAAGCTCTGGAGTATGTGAGGGTCTTTGAATTCTCAGCCGTGCTTAAAGCAGGCAGGATCCATTGGAGACCGTTTTGAGCATCCAGGCTGCGTCGAATGAGCCTTAGGTGCTTGGCCTTGGCTTATCCTCGGCTTATCCCCTCCCTGCCCCCCTAGCCCCCTTGGAGGTCATGATGCGTACGGCTTCTAGTTCATTCCCTAAACAGCTTAGATGTTGTGTTTTTTTCATGCAAAGAACTGCTCCCAGTCACGAGATTGTTTGTCCCAGCACTTTTGTCCTCACTTGTCTCACTGCTGCCTGACGCGGACCCTGTCACAGCTTGCCCACTTCTCTCGGCGCATCCAGTTCCCACGGCATTCGTGCCTCGCTGGATGTGAACGCTTGAAACTCAGTGGCTAGTTGAGAACTGCAAATGGGCAAAGTGTGCAGCCACGCATAGCTCACCAGGCATTGCAGCCAAGCATTGGGTGCTACATGCCAGCGCTTAGCAGCAAGTGCCTTGTAAGACTGATCCAGTGTCATTGTGGAAGAGTGCGGACAGCCAGGCCTCGACTGCAAGACGCAGAGAGTCGCATCTTTTTTGCAGGTGTGGATGCTGGTGAAGGTGAAGGCGAAGGAGAAGGAGAAGGTGAGGGAGAAGGAGAGGATGGCAAGGAGTTGACGCAACCCGGCAAGAGATTTCTAGGGTGGAATTCGGACCTCAGCAAAAAAATATCTTTGTTGCCTGGTTAGTGGAAAACAAAGGGGACCCCAAAAAGCAAAAAAACAAAAGCTAATTCTGGGGAAGATTCTCATCACTGCCAGTACCGAGACCGAAAAAACAAAGAAAACATCCATTGGGTATGTGTCAGAACTGCGGAGCACCAAAAGTGTGCATTTCCTTTTGGCTTCCCTGTAAACCAGCCTGAAAAGGGTACCCTTCAAAGACCACCCGCCGGGATTCATCATGTAACTGGGGGAGGGGCGTGCTTGTTTTGTCCACGAGACACATTTCCAACAACCTCAGGCATCTCCCTAGCTAGAGTGCTGGAAGTGGACAGGAGGCTTCCCCGAAAGGAAAGCAGTTTAAGCACGTCCTTGAAAGCTTTTGGTGCTTCCATGATTGTTGCATGGGAGGGGGTCTCCGAATTCGAGTGACTGTATTGTTGGAGTGTTGCTTTGGAGAGACAGTAGGAGAACTCCTACACCCCAGGAAGGCTCCTACTGTTGACGGACGAAATCCTGCACCGCTTTCACCATGGTTTGCAAAGTCCCTCGTGCTCCCGATTTAACAGTGGAAGTTTTGGGCCCTCGGTTCCAAACATGGTGGAATGGCCGAAATCCTGCACCACCTTGTATGAGTGCCAACAACATTGAAAAGGGGGAGCGGGGTGAGAGGTTTGTTTAGTTGTGGTATGGAGTTGGGAGGGGTGGTGCAGGATTTCGTCCGTCAACCGTATCCTTTGAACCCGTTCGACAAGGTTCCTGCTAAGACTCCGGATGCATTTGGTTTGATTCCATGTATGAGATTTGCAGATATAGCACTTATATAAGTGGCATATAACCGCGGCTCCCCAACCCACCCCAGTTGCGTTCTTGCCATGGCCCATGTCCCTCAAAGGCACAACTGAACTTGGTTGAACACGGAAGCTCACCACTGGTAGAAACATTTGGGATGTTCCCGGCCATCCATGGGGCTCCGAATTTTACCCATTAAAAGATAAGCTTTTAGCAGGGGATGTGGGCAGCCCATGATTTGTTGAGATCTCCAGCGCAAGGCATGCACAAGGCCTCATCCGGGACTTGTGTTGAGGGAAATGTGGGGCTAAGGGAAGGGGAGGCTGGCATGTGTTACATATTTGTATAGACTTTGCAAGTCGCATTATATTATATGTTTAGCGTGTTTCCAGCATATGTCTAGGATGTCTCAGGCCTCAGGCTGGACTTGATTATGTTCCCAGTTTGTTTCCAATGCATGTCGAACAGATGTCTAGCAATGTTCCAGCATATGGTTTGCTTAGGCAATGTTGTTCCACAACAATAACAAGCCTACTGTGTTGTATTTGCGCCTAGCAAATGTCTACCTTGGGTCCCGTCAGGCCTGGCTTCAGCGTATGAGCGGTATATTCCTATCATGAGCCTAGAGCGTTGCCAACGTGGCCTTACCATATGTCTAGCACGTGTTTGGACCTCCCAGCTCACACATAGCTTGGTTCTAGCATGTCTAGCCTGACTTCAGCATGCAGCATTGTTGTTCATCTAGTTCATAGCTATTTTGTAGCTGCATGTGGTCCCTTCCCATGAACAATATCTAATTATTTCAGCTCATTCAGCACTGTAAGTGGATTGATCGACCCACAAACGGCAAACTTGAAAATAAGCGATGAGAACACGTGCTGCTATCAACTTCCAGAAGCTGGAGGTAAAATTAACATTGAGTGCGCAACTTTGCTTTTTGTTGGCAACTTCTCCAGGTTGTTTTCCCTCAGGGAAACTACCAAGCCCGGGTGCGCCTTTACAGAAACCTGTTGCCCTCGTTTTGAAACTCATTTTGTCACATGCCCATTTAATTTGGGTGGTTTCCCTTTTGGCTTCCCCTTGAACCAACCGGAAAAGGGTGCCCTCAGAACAACATCCATTTGGCAGTTCAGGATGGTTCATCGGTATCGAAGCATCCTGGCGGCGCTGCAATACAGCATCGTGCACTTGTTCGGCGACTACCCGGAAACAGACTACTCGCGCCCGGCGGGGTGACCGGGGGGAACTGGGGGATCACAGCTTTGTTGCTCCTCGAGGGTCACGTGGTTGATCTTGCGCAACAAAAAACACAAACATGGCGGTTGGGGCACCCTTTAGGCGGTGTGAAAGGGATAACTGCAGTTTGGGGTGTCCCATCCGGCTTCCGCTAAACCCTCACCACCCAGAAAAACTGCGTCCAGTCCCGTGCGCCCGTTGAACTAGCCCCCCTTTTCAAGGGGGTACTCTCCGGCCCGTTGGTCAAAGCTACGGGGTTGGGTTAGACCCTTTGGCTTGGGATTCTTAGCGCCACTTTGGGAGTTTGGCCACTGGCTGCATCTCCAGCGACCCACTGCCATTTCTGGGGGGTCATTTTGAGAAAAGACGCAAGTGGGTATTGGGCCATCCTCCCCGCATTGCCATGGCACCAACTCGCTTGTATCATTTGAGAGCCTTTGGCAAGGGGGGTGAAACCTATCGGACCCTTACGGCAGGCACCGTCTAACAAGGCAGCAACGCTTTCCATTTGGGCTTCCCTTAGCAGCCCAGGGCTTGGGACAAACGCACGTTTGGTCTTTGGTCTTTGCTGGCCCTCTTTCCCAATCCAATTTGTGAAGGGAAGGTTGTCCCGTGCCGTGAACCGTTGGGGTGCTCGAGTCCATCTCACACCCAACACCCTAAAGAAGGAGGTGGCAGAATAGACCCCCCAGTGTTCACCATATAAATGTGAAGCCATATAGCTGTGGGTCAAAAATTGGTACCCAAACTGGAACCCTGGTAAATGGAACCAAGGACTACAACCTGCTGTCCCCTGGTGGTTTAATTTTGACCCATACCCATATGTCCTGCGGGTCTGGGACGTTGGCATCCAGGCCAAGCTCATCCACTTTGTCGGCATCATGGGCGCCTCGATCTCGAGAAACATCCGCTTCGCAGCAGTTGAGATGGGGAGAAACCTACGAATACCGTGGAGAAACCACCTAACTGCTGCAGGTTATCGTCCATCCACAATATTCAGGGCCTGAATAATGTGAATGCAGTAGTTTGAATTGGGCAGAATAACTTTATAATAAAACAAAAAAACAAACATCTTAAGAGCTTATGGCTTCAGAATGGGCACTATTGGTAACAAAGGCATGCCAGCCAGCACCATCCAACTTTTCTTTTCTTGTAGGCACGTCCAACCCCCCAAGCAACTGTTGCCCAAAAAGCAGACGTTGGGGATGTGGAGTGGTTTGGGGATTTTTGTCTGGTACGTGTTTTTTGGAAACGGCTTTTGCGCAGCTGACTTGAGTTCCCTCGGTGTTGGCTGTTGGGAACTTCTGTTCGGAACCTGGTTCCCAGTGTGAAATCGGGTTTCATCGAGGTGCGAAGCTGGCGCGGGTTTCGTCCAAGGAACTGCTCAACGGAAGGAACCTCTTAACATCGAGGGTTCTTTGGCTTTGTTTTCCTGCTTTCCAGGACGCTTCCCACGACTGCTTTACTATCAAAGCCTTATTGACCTTAGTAGAAGAACAATGTTCTAGCCGAAGGGTCATGACCCCTCTAATGGAGGCCCCCCGGCCCTCCAATGGAGATCCCGGACCCCTCAAGTGCCCTGAAAACAACCAGTTTTGAGTGCCCAAAAACAATCGAGACCCAGGGTAAGAGGAAGGGGACCCCCATTTTGAGAAACCCCCATGTTAGTAGAAACAGAAGTCAGCTTCGGTGAAACGGGCACTCACCGGAGGTGGCATTGCCATCATTTCTACCTTCTGCGGTGTCTTCAGCGCTGGCTTCGTGGATTATCTGGACAGCGTGCGGCAGAAGCAGGCCGGGGATACTTGGGGGGTTGGCGATGGTTTGTTTGTTTCAAGGCTACGCCTTTCAGCTGGTTTAAGGGATAAAATTAAGGGAAGCCACGAAGAATACCGAAGCCATCGTTTTGGACCCTTATTTTGGCACATACTCATTATGGCTATGTTTTTAATAGGCACTGCCTCAAAATTAGTTGCTGGACACATCCCCACATGATGTCCACCCAAGGGTCGCCATTTTAAATTTACACTGCGGTCACAGTTGTCCTTCATACCCTTCTCCTTCAACGGGTTTGTAGCATCTTACCTCCTTGCGGAAGATGAACAAGGAAACTGTGCCCAAGTGGTGACATTGCTTTGCATTGGGGGTTCTCGAAAACAATCACTTGGGGGTTTCCCTTTGGGCGTTTCCAGGGATCCTTTAGTGACTCACTGGGACCGCTCGTTGTTTATTTCACCCACATGGGGAACTCTTGGTTGCAAGTACAAGCCCTCGGGCCTAAGCTTTGCAAGAATTCTTCTTGTTTGACCCCCTGAGCCTCTTTTTGGAACGCAAAGGTGTTGAACAAATGCTCGATCCCAGGCGTTTCGCCAGGGTAACCAGCCGTTTTCCGTTTGGGTCTCATGGGCGGTCTTCTGGCTTACAGGGAAATGGAAACACTGGGATAGGTGTCTAAACGTGATTGAATAGCATCGCGGAACCCTGGAGCCGTTTCAGCCCCTTGAAACGGGTTCCAGCACTCAACTGCTTGTTCAAGCCCCTGCTTTTCAGAAAGGGCTAGGGGCTGGAGAAGGGTTACATAAACAGGATGGGCATGGAAGGTTCTGCAAGAACTAATGTGAAGTCATTGGTCTTAGAGCACCCAACCCACTTGTCCATTCAGGCCCGCACCTTTTTCGCTATAAAAGGTGGTCTCACTCACGGCCACGGGGGCGTGGCATGTAGGGTGTGTCAAAATTCTCGCTTTGGACGGTCCGTTTTTCGGTTTCTCCAGGTGTCACTTTAAACCAAAAGGGTGCCAACTCAAGCAAAAACCAGGCCCACGGCCCCAAACCCCCCGCCCACTTGTTCGGGTGCAGTACCCTTTTGGCCTAAGAGAACAAACACGCACAATGAGGCTGGCCAGTGGAACTCACTTCACCGGCTAAAGGGCAAAACCAACGAGCCCCCAATTTCGGTTTGTATGCCGCCACTTTTGCCGCGGGGTTGAACTCTCTAGCGCGTAGGGTCGGACGGGATGGCAGCCTGACGTGCTTGATGGCGTCAACTATTGGCCCCATAGAACTTCGGGCTTCAGGTTGCTGAATGTGCCCACCTTGACGTCCACCAAAGGCCCCTGGTTAAAGCTTATACCCACAGATAAATAAGAGATGTATAACATATATATATATATGTATATATATATATATATATGTATATGTATGTATATAACACTACATATGTCATATATATATAATAATATACATATATATATATGTATATATATATATATTATGTATATATGTATAACTCGAGTATCAGTACATCAATATACATTTGTCACTTATACAGTTGTACCCATTTCCCCGCATTCGGTCCCAGGAAACCTTCTCTCTCTCTCCAGCAGGTCCAGGACCAATCGGCCAAGTACTTGCGGGCCATGGTGCAGATCAAGCTGGGGGTGAAGCGCTGGCTGGCCCGCCGGTGTGGGCCCCCAACTCGCTCGTGAATCGAACAAACCTCCTCAGTGCCCGAGAGATAGAGAGAGATGTGCATATGTGTCTACATATATATATACATGTATCTACATATATATTGAGGGATATATCTGTTCATTTGCATACACAGAGAACGAGAGAGAGAGAGAGCGAGAGAGCGAGAGATATACATATATATATATATATATATATACACACATAAACAAACAGATACAAATAACAACATATATATATATACATAAATATATATATATATATACGTACACTATACGTATATAGACAGAGAGAGAGAGAGAGAGAGAGACATAGAGCCAGACACGTTTTGAGGCGCTCTGGAGCCCCCTTGCCTCCACGACAGGCCATTGCGGAGACATGGACCTGGGGCGAACTGGGGTCGCATGGCGCTATCCGAGTGTTAGCAGGAAACCCTGCGTTAAACCCTTGGCTTAGGTGATCTCCTTATCCACGAAGCTGGACACGTCCAATAGCCCATGTATTTCGCTTCTTTGGGAAGATATTTGCAGAGATGAGCAGCGTGGCTTGTTTTTTTTGCGATCAGCATTGTCCAATATGCGTACTCAAAAAGTGAGTATTGGGAGTAGGTGATGCACAACAAGGTCACGCCAGCAGCAAGCACATCCTATTGTTCTATCAAGATGTTCCACTCCAAATAATGTCCAGTAGTTTCTAAAAGATGAATATCATTAAGCAGGTCTGTCAAAGTGAATGCCGCTTCTGTCCTTTTGCGAAAAAGGTGCTACGTCCAAGAAACAATCTTAAGGGTGCGAGCTACACAGACAAGTTTTCAGGCGAGCTGGGACGGGGAACCGCTTGAACATAGAAACCACAATTGCATGCACAGCTCAGCAATACTTAGTCTAAGAATAATATAGCGAACCAGAAGTAAACCAATACTAGACCAATTCTACACCAGGCTACCCACTCAGCACTCTCACACACTGGACTACCAGACAGTCTCGGATGATCAGAGGAGACCCAGTTCTGACCCTCGGTAAAGGGGGAGAGCCTTGATTCATCACCACCCCGCAGGCAGTATAATCATGTAGCTTCACCTTTCTCATTCTCATCAGGGATCCTTCTCTTTAAACAAGAGGCCAAACAACTGGGAAAATGGACGGTTTCAAAACGGAACGATGGGTGAAGAGAATGGGGAATCAACCTTAGGATAACCACAATTGCACCGGAGAGAGTTCCCTTGCAAGCAGTACCTCAACTTGTTGACCAAAGAAGCTTGGGCTCGAACACTTCAGAAATTAAACGAGAGAGTCCAAGAATCCACCGCCTATTCATAATCAAAAGATGGTATTCAAGGAGTACCTACAAGCCCATAGCAAGAAACTCGATTGAAATGCCTTCTTAATTGATAATCACGCCTGTATGCATTGTCGAACAAAATCCTTGTGATATCAAACTGGTTGATTTCATGACTACATCACGTTAAACTCATGTCCTGAGTGGATTGGTGCGGAACAGTCCAAACTGTTTGTTTACCATGAATGGTCTACCCGAAAAGTTTAAAGTCCAAGAACTCAGGACGTGGGTAAAGGGGAACACCCTTGATATCACGTTCGAAGCTGGTCCTAAAACACACTCTCTTTTTTTCCGAAACCATCTCTCTGTAAGGCCTTGCTGCACCCATAAATGCAGGAACTGAAACGAACCACTTAGAAAAACAAGAAGTACAATCGAACACATGAGGTCGTATGGGTATAAGTCAATATTAAACCACCAGGGGACCGCAGGTTTCCTGATGGCTTTTAGTCCATGTTTCCACTTACCGGGTTCAATTTCGGCAACCTATTTTTGATGTCAACTGATGTTAGCCCTGACTCAAACTCAATAGAAAGGATTTTACCACGGAGAACCTGGTTCTTCAGAATATACCCACCGAAAAAGGCGGGTATTTGGAGTAGGTACTTGGATGTTCAACCTACCTACTTCTGTAACAAACCGTTGCTAGAAGTCCACTAATCCCTGTGCCACTTGGCAACCCCGGTTATGGCGTACGTTCTGAGTGGTTGAAGATCCAAGTCAGGCAACTGGTCCCGGGTCCTCTCGCGCAGGCCAGCGGTGGAGCCGTCCTCTTCGCGCGCTCCATCATGTTTCGGCAGAGTGCGATGGGCGTCTTGGACCGAAACTCGAACGACGTCGGCTTCTTGGGCATCTACTCACTTCTTGAGGTCCTGAATGGGAAGACCATTTTAGCGGTAAGCAAACAGTTTGCACTTTTTGTTGGCCCATCAACTCGGGAAGTGAGTTTACGAGCATTCAATTTGGAACCCACTTAATAAATACTCCTCAAACTGTGGTTTGCCTTTTTGGTTTCTCTTGATACTAACCCAATTGGCCATGGTTCTACCAGGCTTCATGGGTCATGTCAACCTTATGTTTGTTTCAACAGAAGTCAATGGCGTTGCTGGGCCTCCTGGTTGTGCATGTGTCAAAATGGGGGACACCCACGGCGTCGACTTTATGGATCTTGGTTGTTGGTTTCCTGGGGGGGGGTTCATCAGCACAGACGTGGCACTCTCGTTTTTTCCCACTAAGAAAAAGCTGTGTGTGGTTTTGGTATGTACCTGGACCCGTTAAAAATGGGGGGAAGTTGCCCGCAAAACAACCGGGGTGTTCACCCTGTTGGGTCCAGGTGCTTAAACAATCAGCTTCAATGTCCAAAAGCCCCTTCCTCAGGGTCCGGCCATGCTGAAAACTCCACACATGTCCACACCTCTGGTGATGTCAGGCTGTACTCCGGGTACTCAAAAATTGGCGAGTCGACATTGGCCAACAACCAACCAGCCAAAGCCGCGGGTGTACGTCCCCGAACCCGGACCTTCACCCCGAGCTGAGCCAATTTATGGCAACTGGACAGGTTCGGCCATCCAGAGCTTCTTCAACCTCTGCCTGGTGCCTTGCGCTCATTCCGATTGGAACTCAGAGGGTCCAACCCCTCACAGCCCCTCTTTGGATGTGAAGTTGGGACGGGCTGCGTGAGGATTGAGGTCCACCTAGGGGCTTCCAACTGAAAGTCATGAGTCAGAACCCAGGACATGGGACATCAGAATTCGGTGGGTTCATATCCACCAACCACTTTTGAGGTTGATTCTTCAACCCATGTTTGTTCTTTTTGTCTGTGTCTATAGGGGGCCAAATGAGTACCACCCCACACCCTGATTCTAATGATTTCGGCTTGAACAAGCCTCCTCTCTTTCCCAATTGCGAACTCGTAGGTCTTGACACTTGGTAGGTTAGCCTGAGAATCCTTGCAGGCAACCCGATTGGTGGTTTGGATCCTTTGGCGGATTGGTGGTTTGCAGGTTTGCATTTGGATTTGAATCCTTGCATCTTGTAGAATGGGGAAACCATCCCGAACCACCAAACCACCGGGCTATCCACCAACAAGGGGGAAGCTGATTAGAATCCTGAGAACCCTTGCAACCCTACTTCGATGACGTGGTTTGAACACTTGCTCCTCTCATTCAGATTCGAACCATAGGAGCGGTCGAGCCCTCTCAACGCCACCAAAAAGGGAAATGCCTTCAGATAGCCCCACGCGAGCCTTTTTGAAGGCCTGGCCCACCCCAAGTCCACCCCAACTCAATGCCAGTTCCTGCGCGTTTCTGCCGTGCGACTCTCTCGGACTGAAAGGACTGGAGTTTGGCGGGGGCAAAAGCTGGACTGCTTGAGGGTGCTGGAACATGCGGGCCTTTCTCTTTCCTTTTTTGTTTGTCGGATCCGTTTTTGAGTATGGGTTTCCAAGTTCAAGGAAGCTCATTTGCCTATCGTTTGGTAGAATTTGCAGATCAGGGAAGCCAAATCCCACATGTTGGTAGTTGTTAAATCCGTGGCTTTTTGGAAAACCAACCGGATTTTGAGAGGTGCTCTTGGGAAGTCCGTGCTTGGGGGAAAACAATTGTCTTTAGATCAGTGTTCTAGCGAAACCATTTGGGTGAATTTAATTAGGGACCCTTTGGTGGACATTATAATTTGGTGGGGGTTCATGTCCAGCCACCGCTTTTGAGTTGCTTGAAACTCTTAAATGTTTAAAGTCATAACCATTTGGGTGTGTGTCTCTTGTCGAGGGCATCCCTTTTTGGTGGTTTTTGAGGGAAGCAAATAGGAGAACGATGCTATTTTCTTTCTTCCTGCGTTCCTAGACTTGAAGCTTTTTGGGAAGACCCGCTTCCTCGGACAACAGACAAGTTTGGCTTTTTTTTTTGGCCAATCCACACGTTCGGACGTGAGTTTTGGAGGGTCCCCCACCCATTTCTTGCCTTGGACACCTCTACGGCTCGCTCGCTCCTTTGTCCAGAGTCTCCAGCCAGGTGCTGAGCCTGGTGAACACCATGGCCGCCTCTGTGCCGGAACTGGCGTCTGGGATGCGTTTGGGCTGGATCCAACGCCTGTCCATGCCCACCCCCTCCACACCCCATCCACTCCCCCCCCCCAATACAAGTGCAAATTGGGGGATGGTGATTTCTGGAGATCTCCATTTTTGGTGAGCCATGTTCCGTTTATGGGGAATACTAGAAAATGGAATTGGGGGACACCCCCACCCCCCTCCCCCTTATGGTGGGGGCTTGAAGGTCTTAATTGGAAGAAACCAGGCAGTTGGTGGGAGGTTTGGATCCAATAAGCTGGCGGCCATTGATTTCAGCCACAAGCTTGAGGGATGATATCCCCTTCTTTAGGGATCCTTCTTAGAAGACCAGGGCTCTTGCAAGAAATGGGGGGAATCCGCCCCTTGACCCACCGCGGAGCCGTTTCCACCTCGGCAACCTCTCAGGATGAGCTGCGCTCGGCCGCGGTGCTGTGTTTCGGGCTGGAGATCTTTTTCTCGGTGGTCTTCATCGTGGAGTTCGCTGCTTGGCAAAGATCAGGCAGGGTACCCTCCTACCAACTAACATGGAAGTGCAAAAAGGCCCTTCCAAGAGGAGTCTGTAGTCTTTCTACTGGGGGGAACGAACTCGTTCTTTTTGCAGGGTTTCTTCTGAACTGAATGGGCAAGGAAGGGCCAGGGATTGGTAGGGTTCCCTAACGCAGACCCCCGAATTGGGCCCTCCAATGTAGAACCTGACCGATGTCTTCGGGGCCCAAAAACAAAAGGAAGTCTTTTCGAGAGAGAACCAAGTTTTCACAAAACAATATCCAGGGCTAGAGGTAATACCCCTCGCTACCATGGTTGTAGCTGATGCACTGGCCGTGACAAGGCGGGGTATTTACCAAGGTAGGCACTTCGAGCCGAAACAAACGTAGGGGCTCCCATTATTTTGTTGAAACAACCAGGGGCATGTACCCCCTGAAAGGAAACCAAAGGGAGGTAGTGCATTTAACCAAGGTGTGTTGGAGCATGTTAAAAAAATGGGGTAGCCGAACCTTGTCTAGCACCCTACGACTGCTTGTTGGATAAACTGCCGTCGCCTCGGGGTGCTGCGGGGAAAACCGTTGCCCACAAATTTCAATGTTTATTTGGGGGTGGGGGTACCGGGGTAGCTTTGTTTTGTGTTGTTTAAAGGAAATTAAAAGGAGAACCACCATTTTGGGGGTCCCCTAAAGAGAGACGCCCCCATTTGTCGCTTGTATATGTTCAATCCTGATTCGCTTGTTTGTGGTTGCCAAAGTTTCCCCTCAAAAGGCTGAGAGCGGTTGCTTTTAGACATTATGTTCAATGCTTAGATGTCCTCAAGAGGTAGTGATTTTGCCCACTCCAACACCCCGCGTTTTAGTGGCTCTGTGAAGAAAGCAGAAACACAATGTTCAACTGGCTCCTTTCTGTGTCTCGTCAAGGTTTGCCTGAGTTGTGTTTTTTTTGAGCCGGCCGCTCCTTTTCAGGTGGTACGGCTGCTGGCGCGCCCGAAGAGTGACGGGCCCTCAGCTCCTATCGGTCTGCCAATGGAGGCAAACCAAATTGGCTCCGGACCGAATCTTCGAAGGGCTCGAGCTTTGTAAGGGACACCAAGGGCAGTAGTCGTTAGCCTTTTGGAGGAAGAATTCTAATGTTACGTTAGCGTGAGATTTGCCCGGAGGATCCTAGTCAAAGGAGCCGCATGAAATAGATCATCTCCCTTGTAAAAGTGGAACCACCAGTGATTAGTACCGATCAATCCGAAGTCAACATTCTGCACAATGGCAACCGAGGAAGGACAACCTCTGGTTGGTTTATAGCGGTGTCTGTCCCAAATGCAGCCATAGAGCTGAGCGGCTGGTAGGTTGGAGTGAGTAGATTGAGGCCGCTGAACCGCGGTGTTCGGTCTTTCCCGGGTCACTTTCTGTGCATACCTCAAAATATGCTGATTTTTTCTGTGGTTTCGCTTCAAACCAACCCGCAAAAGGAGAACCCTCAGGAAAAGAATGAAGATCAGCACTAGCAGAGAGGGTAACACGGGCGCAGAGGTTTGACTCAGCGATCCCATTCAGGTTGAGCTGCACCTAGACCCCCATTGCCCTTTGTTTGCTTGTTGAGCAAGTTTCCCTTTATCATACAAAAACACCCATGCCTTCCTATGTCCCTCATTTCAGCTCCATGGTACTAGGTGCAACTACATTTGCAATCGCAATTGCCACAATTCTCCAACGTTGGTAAATATCACCTACATGGAGCCTCAATGATGGTAGTATGCCAGGACGTTGTGCTGCCAAGGTGCTTGTTCGCTTTGATTTGCGTTATTCAGCTTTTTAATTGGAGCTCGCACATTGGTAACGATTGGCTGAATGTTGCAAGTGAGCAAGCCACAAGCAGACTTGCCAACGCGGAACCTGGTTCTTTATGCATCATGGGGTCTGTTTGGTTTGCGCTTTAGTCTGTTGACTTGTTCAACTGACTTTCTCCTTTGGCTACCAACACCTTGATTTTTGTTTTGCAGAGTCAAAGACCACTGACTTCCCCAGACAAACTCGCCGGGGCAGAAACAAACCGCCAACTTTCTTCAGGTGCTGGGGAAGGAGTCGAATCTTGCTCATTGTGTCTGTTGGGGTTGGTTCTCTTCAGTGGGAACATGAGGTTTGGGACAGACAATTTTTCTCCTAGCCCTCCGTACTCGCTTGAGCCACCTTCACCCATTTTCCCCAGCACTCCCCCCGACCCCGGTTAAGGTTCTAAGATTCCTCCCTCAAGTGAATGACAGTAGGGAATTGGTCGCCGGGTTTAGGTTGGTAGACTCTAAACGCGGCTAAATAATTCCTCCCCAACCATTCCTGTATTTGGCTTCGTGACCGAGGTGATGTCCTTCTTCGGGATGATGGTCTCTCGGCACAAGCGCAGGTCTGGACTCACTTTTGCACCAGTTTATACCCCATGAAGACCCTTTGCTTTGGCACAAGCCAATTTTCGCTTCTAGGTTTTGGGCATTCTGTGCGCAGCAGTTCCAGTCCCAATACCTGCTCTCTTGGGGTATTCGGAAGCGAAAAACAGTATCGCTCGACCACCTAAAACGACACCCCACCCCCGTTTTAAGCTCAAACACCACTCAAAACCGATATGGGACCATCCGCCTTTCTCATGGCATCGAGTTGAGTACAGGGTTTGGTGCGCTCAAATGATCAGCGCCTGTCTGGAAAAGGAGGCATGTTCCCCGACAAACATGTAGGATTTTACCGAAGAAACAGGTAGAACAGTTGGTATTTGGCAGGGTAGGTTGCCATCCATCCAGCAGCCCAGGGTTTGTGTTGCGAATGTTCCGTAGATGTGTGGGCTCAACCCAAGGGGCAAACAGCCTGCTTTAAGAATTGAAGTCAGATCAAGGTCAAGTCCTCAGAATGGTCAGACTGAACTGGCAAAGCTTTTTGCGAGTTTCCTTTCGCCCTTCGTTTCCAACTCATTCCTTACTATCAGACATCTTTCTCAACAAATTGAACCTTTTTGGCTGGTTTTAGGGGAAACCAAAAGAAAGCCAACCTGGGGGATCCTAATTTTGATGAACTCAACGTGTCGGTGGCTTTTGTTCCCTCACCGGGTACCTTTTGAGTGAGGCTGAAGTCGGGCGCAAATCTGCTGGCCAGGAAAAGGGTTCTATGCCTTTGTTCTCAGTCAGCAAATCGACATGAATCGGCCTGTCCTCTACCCTCCCACCAACTATGGAACCTGACAGGGAGTCCCGTCAAAAGGTAGATGGTCTTCCAGGACCCGAACTTCAGGTTCCATGTTGCTTGGTGTGATGCGATTTGTCTTGGGCCAGGAGGCCCTTTGAGCGTTTTATGTGTACTCGCTGAATGCGAGGAAAGCAAAGCAAGAAATACCAGGAGTTTCCGTGCCTAGCATTCTTTTTAAGTGTTCCTTCTGCGCAACAAGGGCTCCCTCATTTGTGAGAAGCACCATCATTTGTGCCTGCCGATCCACTCAGGTGACTGCCAGGTTTCGTGGTAGTTACAGCGAGGCTTATCCAAGCCTTCGCAACCATGATGTTCCGAAAGTCAAAAAGTTCTTGGGTGTTCGAAGGTGTTAGATCCATAAGGGGACTAACTCCAGTCAGTGTCCATGGGAATCGGGTACATCCAGCTGTGCGCTCAAGCGTCCAAGTTATGGACCCTAATGATCGTGACCCCTTTGCAAACCTTTGGGCCTTATGCAGATTTATGCAGAACCCGAATCGCGTCCAATTCTGCCCAATCTTTGGCGAGCTCACCTTGGGTAAAACGAGCCCACCCTGGTAAAGATTCTTTACTTGCGATTTCTTATTTTGGACTTGTTGCAACATTTGCAGAACATCCTCCTTCAGGCCGAGCTGGCCCAAAATCCATCGAGACTAGCGTGCCGTTGTGAATCTCCGCCTTCAGGACTTCCTGGGGATTTTGCCGGGCCTTTTCGTGCTCTCCAACGCTGCAACCGGTGGCCGGGCACTCGGCATGCGGAATTGCGACTTAAGTTTCGCATCACTCGGCGCGTGCGCATGGACTCGTGGCCTTGCTGCCCTCGTTTTGTTTGTTTGTTTGTTTGTTTGTTTGTTTGTTTGTTTGTTTGTTTGCTGGTTGGTTGGTTGGTTGGTTGGTTGGTTGGTTGGTTGGTTGGTTGGTTGGTTGGTTGGTTGGTTGGTTGGTTGGTTGGTTGGTTGGTTGGTTGGTTGGTTGGTTGGTTGGTTGGTTGGTTGGTTGGTTCGTTGGTTCGCTGGTTGGTTCGTTGGTTCGCTGGTTGGTTGGTTGGTTGGTTGGTGGGTGGGTGGTTGGTTGGTTGGTTGGTTGGTTGGTTGGTTGGTGGGTGGTTGGTTGGTTGGTTGGTTGGTTGGTTCGTGGGTTCGCTGGTTGGTTGGTTGGTTGGTTGGTTGGTTGGTGGGTGGGTGGGTGGGTGGGTGGGTGGTTGGTTGGTTGGTTGGTTGGTTGGTTGGTTGGTTGGTTGGTTGGTTGGTTGGTTGGTTGGTTGGTTGGTTGGTTCGCTGTTTGGTTGGTTGGTTGGTTGGTTGGTTGTTCTTTCCTCTTTGTTGTTTTTTGGAGGGGAGGGGGCTGACCTGTATCTACCCCCTCCCGCTATTTCCTCTTTTTGGGCAATTGAAAGCATGATGTTCTGTGTTATATGTGACAGGCAGAATCTGAAACAATGACTTTATCTACTGAAATATGAACCATAATCTGAACATATATTTTTTCAGCGCGGATCAACCCTTATCTGAACATGCGGGTGTGCCTATTTTTCAGGGTCCCCCCTCGTGTTTGTGTTTTGTTGTTTTCCTTTTGTGTTTTGTTGTTTTCAAAAAAAAAAAAAAAAAACGGAAACCAAAGGGAACACCGCAACGCCATTTTGGAGCTATCCCCGAAAACAGGACCCGCCGTCAGCGGCTTTCCCGGCCTTGCCCGGGGCCGATGGAGTTTCGAAATCTCTGAGGCTTGGCCACCAGCAGCGCCAAGGAGAGCTGGGTGGAGTGCTTCAGCGCCTCGGAGTCGAGCCGTCCCCAAATGGGGTGGGTGGAGCCTCAAAGCAAGGCGAAACCGTTTCGAGGGAACCGAAAAATATGGAGAAAACAAAGGGGGGGGCCCTAAAATGGCTTTTAATGTAGGGTCCAATGATGCTGTGGGTGCTTTAGGTTTGGAGTCGTTGGGGTTCTGTTCATGTTTTCGGGGGCCCAAGAAACACCGTTTGTTGCTACTGTACGAAAGTTTGGGCAACCGCTCTGGGCAAGGACCCTACCCTAAGGGTCCGATTCGAAACTCGTGTTTGAAGTAAGGGCCCCCAAGTGGTTCAAAAATGACCAGCATTTTCCAACGACTGTTCTTTTTCCATGTTCTTGGTAGGTGCTAGCGGCTTAGCCAATTGGGATGGAGGGGGTCATTCCCTCATTCTTGGAACCAGCAAAGAAGAAGCTGTTTTGCAGCACGGGCAAGTCCCAGAAAGCTTAAACTGCCCCGCAAGATTGGCTGGGGTTCCTTTGCGCATCAGGGTTGCCATTTTTTGTTGTTTTCATCCCTTGTTTGAACGACCCTCACATACGTGGAACCTAGCCTCAATGAGGCTTGGCGCTCTCATGTTTAGACAATTGCATGGTTGACCATTGGACCCTCCATTGCAGTCAGGAGCTCCATTGGGAGGTTTTGGACCTCAAGGATTCGCCTTGTTGAGGCTTCAGAAAACTGCGGGGTTGGGGGCCCTTGGCGAAGTTTCTCGAAGGCATGCTGCGAGCCGTGCGCATCCTGAACTTCCATGTCTTCCACCGGGAAGTGGGCATCATTGGCACCTCGGCCTGGTGAGGCACGTGAAGAATCCCCACCAATCCCTCAGGGGCAACTCAAAAACAATCGGATCCCCGAGGTTTTTCAAGAGTCCAAAGCAGAGGATTCTTCAGCTTTCCGGCGTTTCAAAGCCCCTTACCTCAGAGGGTCTTTTGCTTGCTTGCTTGCCTTGGTTTCTTGGTTGCTTGGTTTCTTGGCTGCTTGGTTTCTTGGTTGCTTGGTTGGGCGGGTGGGTGTGGTTGAGACGGGATTCAATTTGCTTTGGATTCACAGTAAGTAATCTCAGTTGCCAGAGGCGGATCCTTCACTTTTTTGTTGGGCCTCATCCAAAACTACTATGTATTTTTGGGCAGGCTAGAGATGAAACAGAGTTTTAGTACCCCCGATGTGGGCCAAGTTTTCTGACTGCCTTATGTGACAACTAAATGCTTTCCCCCAACTGTGATGACGTATTCGTTTTGGAAAGCCGAGCTGCTTTCTTGTTTTCTCCCCTTTAAGCCATATTTTCTTTGGCAAGGTTGAAACAATATAGTTTGAATAGTTCGCCCAGATATTCAGGGAGCCCTTCGGTGATTCAAGTTGGTTTGAAAGGTTTGAACCTCTCGGTTCTTTCAGGGGGTGGGACTTCTGGCAAAAGGTTTGGATTGTTTTGGGCCAATCTCAGGAAGTGAGCCTTATGGGAAGCAGGATGACTCATTTCGAGCTCGATTTGGGGGTCAAACGAGCCAAACGCATGACGAAGGTTCTTTTCTGGAGGATCCCTCTGCGGATTTCGGATTGCTAAAACCTGCAGATGAATACCGGCCCCTGCTTGATGAATATGGGTTCCCACTTGAAAGTGGGGAGCTTCACTTTCGGAGTGAACACCCCTTGGCAATCCGCCACAGGTTGATTAATGCGAGATTTGGGTAGCCCTCCTCCCCTCCCTTGCGCGACTCGCTCGAGGCCGCGTCATGCGGGACGCCAGCACCAAGCTGGCTGCGCTGCGCTCAGAGAGATGTTTGACATACGTGATGGTGTTTCTTTACCAAATTGGTTTCTTTGTGTGTTCAATTATTTGTTTGTTTGCGTGTTTGCTTCTTTGTCTTTGAATCATTTGTGTCTCAAATTCTGTGTTCATTTGTTTATTTTGCTTCTTTGTTTTGTTTGTGGTGCGTTTCGTTATATGTTTGGCCTGGGGAAGCCAAAAGCGGTCAACTACCAGAAACAGGGTGCTTGTTTGTTCCCAATGGAATCCACTGAAGGTCTTGGGGGAGGGTACCGGGTACCAACACAAGTGGTTGGGAACCATGGTTACAACCTGGTGGGAGCCCCGGGTTTATTCATCCGGGGTCAACCTGACCGGGTAGTAAACTGGGTTCACGACCACTTACACACAGTACACTGCCCTACTGTGGATGGACGAAATCCTGCACCAAAGAAACCCTGGAATGATGATCACCCTGTAACTACCCACAAACAATGGTTTCCATGGCTTCTTAGGTGGTGCAGGATTTGGTCCATGCACAGTATGATAACCCATTTTAGACCCACAAGCCCACTAGGTTTTCCATGTACTTTAGAGCCTCCGGCTCAGTCCGCCGACATTGTCCTCTCCCTTTTCTCCTTCTTCCTCTCTCCCTTGTCTCCCTGGTGTGTTCTGTCGTCCTCTCTCCCTCCCTCCGCTCCCCATCCTCCCCATCCCCCCAAGCCACTCTCTCCCCAATCTCCCTCTCTCGTATGTATGTATGTATGTATGTATGTATGTATGTATGTATGTATGTATGTATGTATGTATGTATGTATATGTATGTATGTATGTAATGTATGTATGTATGTATGTATGTATGTATGTATGTATGTATGTATGTATGTATGTATGTATGTATGTATGTATGTATGTATGTATGTATGTATGTATGTATGTATGTATGTATGTATGTATGTATGTATGTATGTATGTATGTATGTATGTATGTATGTATGTATGTATGTATGTATGTATGTATGTATGTATGTATGTATGTATGTATGTATGTATGTATATGTATGTATGTATGTATGTATGTATGTATGTATGTATGTATGTATGTATGTATGTATGTATGTATGTATGTATGTATGTATGTATGTATGTATGTATGTATGTATGTATGTATGTATGTATGTATGTATGTATGTATGTATGTATGTATGTATGTATGTATGTATGTATGTATGTATGTATGTATGTATGTATGTATGTATGTATGTATGTATGTATGTATGTATGTATGTATGTATGTATGTATGTATGTATGTATGTATGTATGTATGTATGTATGTATGTATGTATGTATGTATGTATGTATGTATGTATGTATGTATGTATGTATGTATGTATGTATGTATGTATGTATGTATGTATGTATGTATGTATGTATGTATGTATGTATGTATGTATGTATGTATGTATGTATGTATGTATGTATGTATGTATGTATGTATGTATGTATGTATGTATGTATGTATGTATGTATGTATGTATGTATGTATGTATGTATGTATGTATGTATGTATGTATGTATGTATGTATGTATGTATGTATGTATGTATGTATGTATGTATGTATGTATGTATGTATGTAATGTATGTATGTATGTATGTATGTATGTATGTATGTATGTATGTATGTATGTATGTAATGTATGTATGTATGTATGTATGTATGTATGTATGTATGTATGTATGTATGTATGTATGTATGTATGTATGTATGTATGTATGTATGTATGTATGTATGTATGTATGTATGTATGTATGTAAGGTAGGTAGGTATGCATGCATGCATGCATGCATGTATGTATGTATGTATTGCATGTATGCATGTGTGTAATGTAATGTAATGTAATGTAATGTATGTATGCAATGTATGTAATGTAATGTAATGTAATGTAATGTAGTGTAGTGTAATGTAACGTAATGTAATGTAATGCAATGGAATGTATGTATGTAAGTATGTATGTATGTATGTATGTATGTATGTATGTATGTATGTATGTATGTATGTATGTATGTATGTAATGTATGTATGCATGCATGCATGTATGTATGTATGTATGTAATGTAATGTAATGTAATGTAATGTATGTATGTATGTATGTATGTATGTATGTATGGTAGGTAGGTAGGGAGGTAGGTATGTATGTATGCATGCCTGCATGTATGCATATATGTATGTAATGCATGTATGCATGCAATGTAATGTAATGTAATGTAATGTATGCAATGTATGTAATGTATGTAATGTATGTAATGTATGTATGTAATGTAATGTAATGTAAAGTAAAGTAATGTAATGTAATGTAAAGTAATGTAATGTAATGTATGTATGTATGTATGTATGTATGTAATGCGATGTAATTTTAGGTAATGTAATGTGATGTTGTGTAATGTAATGTATGTATGTATGTTTGTATGTCTGTCTGTCTGTATGTATGTCTGTATGTATGTATGTATCCTTGCACTTCCCCTCTGCTCCCCAGTATTTCCCGCAAAAAAAACACTGTGTTTCCAGCGTTTTCGCAAAGTTGATGTCCAAAAACAGAGTTTTTCCAGATTTTCGGCAAAAGGATGCAGGAAGCCCAAGCCAGCAAAAAAGCCGGCAGGGGGAATCGAGCCTGGGACCCCTGTTTTGCGACACCGGGTCAGCAAATTGCCGCGCGGTCCTTGGAGGGGGGGGGGGGCCCCCCCCCCCCCCCCGTATCAGACGTTCGGGTGGGGGGGGGGGTTAGGGGGGGGGGGGTTATCCTCTATCCTCTCTTAGGTGTCCGACACGCCGAGCAATGTCGGCGGATTTTGTTCGGCTTGGGGCAGCTCCTTTAGTATCAACTACCAAGCTTTACTGTAAGGTTGTTAACCCAAGAGCGAAAAAGGAGGTATGTACTGCTGGACCCATGACCTCGTTGGGAGTATGGCCTGCCCAAAAGCTGCAGCGGTTTCCGCGATGTGGAACCCAAGCCGGTCCACTTGTCACCTTCTAACATCTAACCAGATGATCCATTCGCGAGTTCCCTTTGATCTTTTAGAAAAGCGCTCCAAGATGCTCACGCAACCAGAAAAAGGATTTGCAACAAAAGCACACGCCAGCCAGGTGCCGGGCTATTTGGCCTTGAATGCCCCCCGGCTGCTTCTTTGTGTTCGCTCTTGGGAGAGTCGACTGGGTCGACCGCGTTAGTTCCTGCACTTACCTACCCCCAATACCCCGCTTTTTCCGGGGTGCATTTTGAAGAACCAGGTGTGATACCACATTGGGGGCTGACATCGCATGACATCATATCCTGAACAAACAGTAGCTTTGGGTGATTGCGGGGGCATATTTTGGTGGCTGTCTCGGCCTCTGGAGTAATGCAGCACTCACACACACAACCCTAAAAGGATCATGACCCCTTCAATGCAGCCCCCGGGCCCTCCAACGGAGAACCCCGACCCCTTCAAAGGGGCGGGGGGGGGGAGGTGCAAACAGTCCCAACTTTGAGAAACAGCTGGGACCCTTCGGGAAGGGTTCTGGACTTGAGCCACTTGTCGGGTTTGGACTCGATGAGTCACACATCGACCGAGACCACAAAACCCGTGGACCTCAGCAAATCGGGATTTTTGGTTGATTATGGGTTGTAGTTCCTCTTAAGGGCACCCCTTGTTTGGTGGCTTTAAAGGAACACCAAACGGACCACCTTTTTTTTTGGTGGTTGGGGGGGGGGTTCCCCCCAAAAATAAATAAATCAAAGAACCAAACATATACATCCATGCATATGGGTTGTCAATTCCAGCACCCTACAATCACTGCTTGTTGAGCCATGCCCAAGGACCTCAGGAACTGAAGCCCCGGAACAAACCTTAAAGCGACCCCGTGGATTGACAACTCCACAGGCTTCTTCTCTTTGTGCCTCAGCCCAGGCGATGTTTACATAAAGTCATAGCAGCGGCAAAGCAACACAATTCCCGTGCTTAAGCAAAGAACATCGCACAGGCTCAAGTCGACTACTGCTCGACCTCCCATTTGGTGTCCCGATTTTCGCGGGGACCCCCGACCGATTCCTTCGGGGGCGACGCAGTTAGGTTTGGATCACCACCTCGGCCTTGTTCATGTGGATGGAGAACGAGTGGAAGAACGAGTCCGTGGTATGCGACCAGAAGCGGCTCGGACTTGCTGCCATAGATCGGGTCCAAAACGAAGTACCCGGTTTTTTATTGACCATGGAAACCCATACTGTAGGTGTCCTTGTTAGGTTAGTTTGGTTGGAAATAGATGGGTTCCACTGAGTAGATGTGTTTGATTAGACATTTACCAGGGCCATACTATTTTTCACAAAGGTCACCTATGCCCACAATTTGTTCCCTAAGTGTTTCTTGACGAAGCCGGTGACCCAATCTGGAAGCTGATGCTGAGCCAACGTCCTGTGCTCCAACCAATTTTGGCTTGTGCCAACCCAAAGTCCTGCTTGGGGACAAGGATTTCCCGGCCATCACAGGGTTCCTGCAGAACCTGTTCAGCGATTGGGGTATCCTCGCTGGATCTCGGGCACAGGGCTCATCTTTGATCTTCTTGTGCTAGAGTGTTCTCGTTGTTACTTCGTCCTTTTTGCTTTGCCCAGCATTCCAAATACTCTGCTTTGAAAGGCTACGGGTTCAAACAAAATATGTCTTCGAGATGACTACTTGTGTTTGTGAAGTCTGGGGTTGACATCCCTTGAGATCATACCTTTCAACAAGAGGGTGTTGGGATTAGGGAGATTAGGGCTTGTGATGACAGGCTCCTTTCAAGTTGCCGGATGAACTTCCTCCCACTTTCTAGCAGAGCTTTCAACCCGTTCGGTGTTCGAATGTTGTTCCTTGCTTTTCTAGGGGTAACATCCCCATTCTTTCCAGGGGTCCTTCTTTTCAGAACAAGCATAAACCCATGAACAGGTGGTTTTTGACGAGAACAATGATTCCAAATAATTGAACAGAAACAACACTTAGAGCTCTGTCAAGGTGGATATCATTCTCTCACTTCCCCAAGACCCACCTTTTGACCAACCTTTTGGCAGCCCAGGTTTGATCAGTATCAATGCACGTCTCCTTATAAGAGCAGTTTTACCAAAGGCAAACATTTAGGATAGGTGCCAATTCTGAACCAATGCTAAACTCGCGAAATCTTCTGATCCCAAGCGGCACACCCAACCTCCTTTGTTGTTGGCGACATGAGGTTTTCCGTCCCAAACACGGGGTGTCCAAGTGAAGAACCTAAAGCAAGGGTTGTGGGTTCAGCGCCAGTTCCCACTTTGGTAGGCAACCAGGCGTTTCTTGGCTGGATGCATCCCCTACAATTCGCTTGGGACCCAAGCTACACTCAGAAAGGAGACACACCCATTTCCAACATCTCAGGTACGGGCCAGACAACTGCGGCGGCGAGGGCACTTCGGGAGATATGCCGGATGTGCCATCCGCCGCTCGGCGGATTTCTTCCATCAATCTCACTCGCTCACTCGGCGTGCGCGATATGGTTCCTTTCGACTTGTCACATTTTTCGGCCAACTTTGACTTTCCAGCCAACTTTCAGCATTTGGTTCAGCGTTTCGAGGGATTTATGCCATGTGCCACAAAAGGTACGTGACATCTCGCAAGGGACAAAGAAGCCCCAGGCTCAGTTCCTACCAAAAAGGCTCTCGCCTTAGGGGAGCCCACAGCCCGAAGGTTTTCGGGCGCTTTAGGTGGAAAGCCCCGTGTTTTAGAAAACCCATATCCTCAAACCAGGCTTCTACATTTCGACCCTTTTTGGGAAGAATCAACAAGTTTGATCTTCATTGGGCCAACCTGCTCAGGAAAGTTACTCGCTCTCTCTCTCTTTGTCAATGGGAGCCAGGATTAATCTGGGTCTCGAGCTCTGCGATTCGGGGGGTTGGTGAACACTCTTTAGTAATTTGCCGCAGATTGATTAATGCGGGATTAACCTCTCACCCCCTTGGGGTCACCCCTTCATTTGAGGCCAGACCCTTGGATAGCCCTTCAAAAACGACGCGGTCGTTCGAGCCTCGTCAACGGGGACGTCGTCCTTCTCGAGCTTTCAGGATACCCTGCCCTGCCACCTAGGGAAGACTCCCTTTTGCTTGACCCCCTTGGGGGGAAAAAGTTAAGAAGGGGCAGAATGATTGCATGTATGGTTTACTCCCCTATACTGTCCTAATATAGTCGATAGAGTGTGGCCCGCAAACCCGTTCAGATCAATTAAGCCCTTGCACTACCAACCACAGCTTCTAGCAAAAGGGTTTCAGGGAGAAGCAAAGCAGGTCTGGAAGGCGAGAGGCGCTTCAATTGCAAGCTGGGTGAGCCTTTCAGTTGGGGTACTTTATTGGGGTTCTAAATAGCTCAGCGCTTGCAGTTTTCCTGGCAGGCAACCAAGCCGTTCTGGAAAACCAGAGGCAACCATATCCGGTTCCCTACTTTAGTGGCTATACTGGCAACTGGAAGGTTTTCCCATACCCTGGACGGACAAATCTTCTTTGCACCAGGTGGAATTGGTGGATGTTATCAAGTATTCATGGGCTTCATCCATCCCAAGTGCCTGGCGTAGAGTCAGGCCAAAATGATTATCCCAACTGAATCCAACAGAGCATGGCCGTGTTTTCAGATTATTTGAACAGCAGCCTGCAAAGGGGCGCCTTTGCACAAAGTCCAATGGTTTTTCCCACACCCCAAGGTCTGTCAAGAGATTTGGGAGCTGGCTTCTGACTAGTTGACTCACTTTCGTTCACATGCCGGATCCAAGTTCTCAGGGGGTTCAAGGGCTATACCTATCGTCATGGATTCGGCCCATAGACAGTTCGATCGGTTTGGGGGCCTGAGGCCTTTGTCAGGGCATGCGGGGGGGGGGGGGGGGGTGGTCGCAGGATCTCCATCTGGATTGTTTCGTTCTTGGGTTGCATGGGAGAAAAGCGCGTGCTCGGGTATCGACGGATGGTGGTTGCCCACGAAAACGCGCCAAAGACGAGACCCCACAGCCCTCAAACAGCTTAGTTTGAAGGTCCGGGCAGTCGTGATGGGCACGTACTTTTTTCGGCGCTATGGTAGGAGGATCCTACTTTGATCGTGAATTGGCTAATTTGTGTCGTCTTCTAGCCAGTTCCGGGTGAACAACCCAGTTCCTGGTTGAACATGGGGCGCCACAAAGGCCTTTGGCAGGGTTCATTTGCCCCGGTTCGTGCTGAGGGGGACATTTGCATTTACAGCACCCCACAATGCATTTGCAGTGATTCCATTTCCCTGCATAGTAGGTGTAACAAAGGCAAATGCCCTTCAAAAACCGAAAGGAAAGTGGGTGGCCACAAGCATCATTGGAAGGTTCAGGACCTTCATTGTCTTAGGCAATTATCTTTTCATATTTCGCCAGGGGTTCTCTGCGTTTGGCGGGTGGGAGAGGAGTGAAGCATCGAAGCGAAGCGCCATGTGGAGTTTGATTGAAACAGAGGCCATTTTAAAAATGGCACCTCCACATGGTTGGTAGACATGAATTCCCACCCAAATGATGTTCACCAAAGGGTCCCTTATTTAGACCTGGAGTGAAGCACCGAAAAGAGACTTTCGCACTGCGCGGCTTTTGGTTTTTGCGGAGGCGATGTATTGGTGCTCCATTTTCCTGACCGGGGAGTGGGCCAATGTGGATTTCACCTACGCGGGCTCGCGGCTTTGCATCTTCTATGTGCCTGGGCTGACACCCAGACCTCCAGACCTCCATGTTCCACTTTTCGACCTCCAAAAGTGGCATTTGGTTGGAAACTCTTGAAGGGGAGATCCAGCGATCCCTGCCCAGTTAGTCCGAATTTTATGGGGTTTGGTGGGAAGGTAGTTTGAAATCAACCCTGAGAAACTTGGACCTCAAACATTGCCCACTCTGAGGCAAAACCTGCCAATGGAGGCCCGGTTCGACCCCTCTAATTGAGGGTCCAGTGATGCTTTGGGAACACAAAGAAGGGTGCCCTTTTCCCACATTTTCCTAATACATGTGTGTGTGGGGCATGATATCATTCCTGGTGGCATGAGGCAACCCCAAATTGCTGGGTGCCGAGTTCCATCTGCTCTCGCGCAGCAATTCCCAAAAGGGGCCCTTTGAGGGGTCAAAGAGGCCAGGGGACTTGATTTGTCCTCTTGCCCCTTTCAAGGTCCGCAAGAACTTGGGAAGACGGCAAACGATTGGCCCAAAAGCGTCGCCTGTGAGTCCAGTGTCCGAACCGCCGGGGATCAAACGCGGCGATTGCGTAGGAGCCAAGGACCAAGGGCGAACACTTCCCCTAAAGCCCCTGGCTCCAAATCAGGAAAAGCTCCACCTTCCCTAGGTCCCCCAGTACTGCCCTGGGTTCCCTTATTAAAACAGACTACAGAAAAAAGAATACCCTGATTCTACCCTCTCTACTGGAGGACCTAGTTCCTGCAGTCCGCTCGGATTTTGGCCGCCCTTTTTGGTAGTGACCCGCCCGGCTTGGTTTCGGCGCGGGCGAAACGGTTTCGTTCGCAGGTGGTCTTCGGAATCGCCATGTTCTCCATCCCGGTGGGTATCCTCGTGGAGGCGGTGAAAGGCGCCTTCGATTCCCTTTGCTTCGGAGATGCCCAGGTGGCCGTGGTTGTCAACGGTACCGTTTTGGGATCCCATTTGGTAGGTGAATTCACCACTCATTTTAGAACCTTTTTTGGTGGGGATTGGGATGTTCACTGGATTTTGGTACGGGGTTTTGACCCATTGCCAGGTCTGCTGGAAAAAACCCGCTGTCTGGGCCCTAAAGCCAAGAGACTCTGCAACTTTAGGGGGTCTGAGATGGCTTCCGCTCCCAAGCCAGAGGAAAATGGGGCACCGTTCATGTGGCGATGCACATACCTTTATGGTTTTGTCATACATGAGATAGTGTTAGATCCTTCCAGAATAAACCGTACATTAGATACATGTGATGATAGTGTACACTAAATACAGAGTGGCTGCATATCCTATTAAACCTGGGGTGCTTTCGGGATAGTGGAAACCATCTTAGAGGCGAATGAAATTGAATAGACAAGGCAAGGGAAAAGTGGCGCTTCTATTTCGAGGGCATACATGTTCTTTGCATGCCTTTTTTTTTTGGGGGGGGGGGGTGATGTTTGTGCAAGCATTGCAAATTTCAAATCTTGGGATCCGAACCACCATCAAGACAATGACCCAAGGTTCATGGCCCCTCTAAGTCTGACTCCACGTTCGGGCCCTCCAAAGAAGAACCCGATTCGCGACCATTTTTCAGAGGCCCTTGGAACAAGTCGCAGGGGCCAGAAGCACAAGTACTTTTCGGGCCCTGAGCAAGCATCTGTTTGTCTGGCGGAAGATCTCCTGTGGTGGACCCAAAACAGGCGAACCCGAGAACAGGGTGGTTTCCTGTTGGCTTCCCTTCAACCAACAAACACCAAGGGGGCATCCTCAAGACAGGACACGCCCAAATCACGAAATCATAATGTTCATAAGGGAACTTCCACCAGTTTGAAGTCTGGGACTGGGTAAGCACATCTTAAGAAATGATGTCTCTCTGCGTGATTCATATATATATATATACATAGCCGTCATTGTTTATAGCCCCAAGGCCATTCTGTCAGGTTGAACACTAGGAGAAAGTTTGAGTGGCCATTGTGTTTTCAGATGTTTTTTTCGGCACACCCAAACAGGATGGGTATTTGCGTGGAGCCTTTGTGGATTGGATCGAGTGTCGAGTCGAGAAGGCACTTTGCAACTCATCGCTCTGGAAGAGAAGGAGATCAAGAAGGCCGGGGGGGGGGGGGAGTTTGACCCTGTCCACTTTCATGGAACCTCGCTTTTCGTTTAAAAGTTCGGGTTCCGCATCGTGTGAGCCCGGATTGATGAACCCCTGGTTGATCAACATAGGGGTGTCCCCTTGTAGTGAGGTTCATGACTTCTGAGGGACCACCCCAGTATCAGTAGGATGGATTGATGAGTCTGGGTCACCCATGCGATGAGGTGTGTGAAGGGTGTGCTGTTGGGGATCCCTGGGCTTGCGTCTCATTGGCGTCCTCCCGCCTCAGCTTCCAAGGGACTCCCCCGCAGGCCGTGGGCGACGAGCGCGTCATGCCGGAGGATGCACCGAAGCACTGGGCGAAGTCCTGATCGCTTCAGCCTCAGAGGGAGGGACCTCTCCCACCCACAGGATATGTCAAATGATGCCAGCTGACTATCCGAGGTATCAAGAACCGAGGAAACCTGGTTCTTCAACGTATTTTGTTGTTTTTCCTCTCTCTTTTTTTTTGGGGGGGGGAGGGCCTGGTTTAAAAGGAAACCCCAAACAATCACATTTCGTGGTTCCCCTATTGTAAGACAGACCCATGTACCCATAAAAAGAGTGCTCTTGGACGGGTGAGTTCTCATAGATCCCACTTCGGGTGGATGCGGGAAAGAAATGGGTTCTATCACGTGCGGGGTTTGCTTGGTTGCTTGGTAGTCTGTGAACCCTTCAGGAATTTCGACCCCAAGGATAAAGGGAATGGCAGCTTTGACTTTTGACCATGAAGATGACCCCTACGCAGACCCCTCCAAACGGCCCTCCGATAAAGAGCCCGAATCCACACCAATTCCGGGGAATCGGGACCAATTCCTCCGGGGCCCTTGAAAACGGTCCCAGTTAGGGCCCAAATAGTTGGACGTCTAGGGATGGTGGAAGCAAGCCAGCATAGGGTCATAGGCTTGGTACGTCCGTTGGTGCCCTGGGATGGTGCTTGAGGTGTAAAGAGGTCAAAGAACGGACCCTTGTATATGTCCCTTCGGGTCGGTTTTAGAAGTTTGACAGTTCCCATTGTCGGCTTGCGGCTGACTCGAGTAACGTGACCGGTATTTGCGCATCGTATTCCACGATGCTGAAAACTCCAGGTTTCCAAGCAGAGTCCGAAGAGTTTCTTGGTTCCTCAACATGGTTGTTCTTTTTCGGGCCCTTAAACTTCGTGATTCGGGTTCTCCATAGGACCAAATCCTTGCAACAGTGGTTATCCCTATATATATATATGTAATATAGGGCCAGTTTTAGTCCAATGGAAGGTTGGCTCAGGGTGGCAAATGGACGCAGAAGGAGCACTTGATTGATACATCCGTGCAGTCGATTGAGGCTGTGAGCCACTGCACTCTTGAGACTTCCTTGTTTCCCGGGTCCCTATTTTGGGCGGCCCCATTGTGGGGGTTGCATTGGGCCATGACCCTTAAAACTGCGTGTTTTCAAGGCCCCAGGAATTGGTCGGAGTTCTCCATTGGATGGCCCATATGGGCGGGCCATGACCCTTAGGCACTATGATCTCCGACCCAAAGGCTTACGAATACTGCTCAGACCTTCAAAAAGAAGCAACTTGAGGGCCCTTCTTCTTTGGTGCTCCCAAGAGGCTCGATTCCTCCCCAGGTTGCATGAGCGTTTGGGTGGGTACCATACGGAAAGCGTGGCGTAACCTCAATGAATCGAGAGGCCTTTCTCCGTACATGGTAGGAAGATGACGGGGGCGGGGGGGGACGTTATTTTCCTGGTTAGGAAGGGGAATTCTTTCCACCTGACTGAGGTGAAATCATGAGCGCGGTGAGTGAGGCCGTCTTCCCTTCTAGCGCATCCCTAACGCGTGCACAGACTTGATAAGTATTCTGGCGCGGCAGTTGCCAGAGGCACACGTGTCACACTGATGCAAAATGCAAAAGAGAAGTGCGGCGGAGACAGAGCCCAAAAACCAAGCTGGGCACGAATGAAGACACAAATCCAACACTGACCCGCTTTCGGCAGAAGATTGGGATGGGCCCATTCCTCCTGACTGTCAGTTAGAGACCTGTTAATTATTGTGTTCAAACCGCGAAGTAGGTTACAACGGATATAAGTGGGGTGGGGTTCTCACGAATAAACACATTGGTTATAACCTACTTACGTCAGGCGGTTTTTGCCAAGTCACCAGATCCAGGGTAGAAGTTGGGCTTTACTGGACCCCCTGCAACCCCAAAGACTTGAAGAAGGCCGTGCTTTTCGGCGAATGGAGGAAACCGGAGAAGGGGGATGTGATACCCTGTGATGTAGACCCCCTATTAGAAGGATGGGTTCATCAATCGGTCGACATTATGTGACCTGTGTGAGGTACATGTTGTTTCCATGCCCAGATCGATCGAGGAGTTTAGGGCCTGCATACTCACTATATTAGTTGCAACTGTACTGACTAAATACGAATATAGAGCCCATGCTAATTGTTTGGGCTCAGGGTTGATATGAGCTCCATGCTCTAAGATCTTGCGCATGAAGAATTGGCATACTGTACGGTGGTGAATGTTGTTTTCGGTAAGAAGACCCCGGCATGGTTTCGTTGAGAAGCTCGTGGGGGAGGGGGAAGCCGTGATGTTCCTTAAGTGTTTTCAGCAGATTGATTTTGTCTCCCGGATCTCAGCCAAGCGAGGGTTGGGATTCACAGGTAAGGACGTATTAGTGTCCGAGCTTGGATGTTCAACCAACTTAGGTTATAATTATGGATAGAAGTGGGCTAGCTGGGGTTAGTCCCCTTATAACCTTCTTTGGTGCATTTTGCTTGGATGCTGGGACTTAAACTTTCTGCCAACTAATGTTTTTTCCATTAGACCACTAAAAGCTAAACCTTTAGCAGGGGAGCAGAAAGCAACCGAGCTTTCATTCTTATGTCTACTTTCCTCATGTGGTTTGAACGCTCCAGTGCTCAGTTATGAGGCCAAGCCAGCATAACATGAGCTGGCTTTCCTCCAAATCTTTGCAGTGTTAGTTTTTTTTTGCAGCAGTCAGATGTTCATGGGTCAAAAGCCCGGTTGTCCCCCAAAATGGTACCATTGGTTTTGACCCACAGCCAGATGTTTCTCGTGGCAAATACAGCCAATGGGTGACCCTTTTTAGTTGGTCTTTGAAGGGGTTCGACCTGCAGCCTTTTGAGGGGTTACTGCGTTTCTACCCAAAGTCTCACGCTATGTTTCTGGCCCTGTCCCAAAGAGGGTTCGAAGGGCCCTTTCTGTTTGGAAGTATCCATTGGTCGCCTCTGGTCATTGAGACCAACCCGGGATTGGTTCAAAGACCAATGCCGTAGTGAAGTGATGTTTGGGTCGTTTCCAGACCCGTTTTGGTCAAATCAATTTCCGTCTTGGCAACCCAGAATCACCTTTCCACTCTGCAGGTTGAAATGGAACCCACTATAGAAAGCATCAGTTCTAGAGCATGTTTTTCTATGTTCTAGAGCATGTTTCTTCTTCAAGGACTGCTGGTTTCCATACCGTCCATAGAGAAAGTGCAAAGGGACTTCCATTGGTTCTGGTTTCGGACCTCTTCGGGTCCAAGGTTCTGAATGCAAAAACAGCAAGTACCTTCCGGAAAGCAGAGGTTACCCGGGTGCGCGAGGCTGCGTTTTCCCGAGGAACAGTCAGACCCCACGGCCCACTACAATCTCAACTTGGATCATCCGCAGCATCGCGCCCTGCTGCGGATGTTGCTCAGGCGCGTGGCGCCTTCGGGCTTGTTCAGGGAGTGGGGGGCAGGTGGGGGAAGCCCGTTTCGCCAGGTTTTGCAAAGGGTGTCATTCTCATGGTGGAGCTCATTGACTTCTTCTTTGGAGTTTGACTTGCTGGAATCATGCTGGCAAGCAAGAAGTCCAAGCTTTCTTTTCCAACCCACGGAACTGAGTTTGTGAAAGGGTGTCCTTTGTTATGAGCTTGCTCGTGATGTTTGAAGGGGAATTGTAGCGAGCGCTGGCTGTCGTCCTTTGTCCTTCACCCTGAGCTCTCTGCAGATTATCAGTGGCTTTCCCTGAGGGGGACTTTCAATGCAGACCCTCGGGGCCCTCCACTCAAATTGGACCCTATCGGACCCCGAGGGTTGGTCATTTGGAGAGTTCCTTCTAAACAAAAGCTATAGACAGGTGCCTTCTCCATGGAAACCCAGCGCCGTAAGCGTCAAGTGTCCTGAAACACGGGTTTGTTTGTTTGCTTGCTTTTTGTTTTGTTTTGTTTTTGTTTTGTTTGTTTGCTTGCTTGCTTGCTTGGTTGTTGTTTAGCAAATACAACACTAAAGACCATGTTGCTCACTCCCTGAGTTCATGGAATATAGTTTTTCGGGTTTGCACCAGAGGCAACCCGCTGGCACGTGGGATGGGCTCAACTCGCTTCCTTCCGCCCAGTGGTTGGCCTTCTTTGGGTTAGGCAAACCAGGGGACCACTGGACATGGGCTGAACCCTCCGAACCTGACTGGCTGAACCCTGGCTGAACCGTTTTTTCATCCTTTTCATCTGGCGCGATGCAGATATCCTGCATTTCTAGTAGGACTGCAGGTTGCAGGGGGAAAAGGGGGCGGGGAAAGCGAATTCTGCGGACCAGGCGGTGCCAAAGCCAAAAGAGGCCCATCCAAGAGCTCTTCAGCTTCGAGGCACCGAATCCGTCCAGGGGGTGGTGTTCCCCTTTGTTTCTTTTCGTTCTTATTCTTTTGCGGGGGATCAGTCCTTGTTTTGTTTTTTTTTTTTGGGGGGGGGGCGGGGGTGGAGAGGGGGGCGATATTTTGTTGCAGGGTTCCCCCAACAGTCCCAACAGTTGTTGGTTTCCTCCGAATGGGTCTGTTTTCGCTGGAGGAATTGGTCGCGATTAGGATTCTTCCATCGGGCCCGGATTGGAAGGTGCATGAATATTCGGGTGGTTGCAAAAATGGGGCAAACGGATCGCGACCCAGGATTCCTTTCCCTTGGAACCTCCAAAAGTGAGGAGCGTTTCAACGGACCCCACCAGCAAATGGCAACACTTAAGGGGACATCCAGTGATTTCTGTCAAGGAACCTTCGGCCCAGGGGTTTGGAATTGGAAGCCTGTCTAAGCTTGCCACTGCCCCCCAAACACTCCCAAGGGTTTAATGGGATATACAGCCACAATATAGCCGATATGTACAGGGCATGTATATTTATACATACATATATATATATATATACATAGGGTTGTGACTCTTTTTTAGGGTACCCTTTTTGTCAAAGGGAAACCAAAAGGCAAGAACAACCTTTGGGATCCCCCAACAGAGACATCCAAAATATGATGTCTCTCTGGTGATGTGTTTGCATGTGCCGCGAGGAGAGGGGCGATGACATCTTCAAGGAGTGGGCCAAGAG